AACCGGCCTTCATTTTTCTCGATCATATTCCGGTAATGGTATCAGAACGAGAATGATCCTGCTTAACTACTAAAATCGCGAATTTTCAATATTTTTTTTGCTTAATAAAATCTGGTAATCAGTTTCGTTTACGAATGGAGTTTAAAGTAGAGAACAGTCACACTCGAGATGATCAATCGGAGAAAATGTGATTAAGTCTCATAGCAGCGAGAAACAATGACAATTGCAGAAGGACCGAGCGTGGCAATGTCCGAAATCTGGTGAATGAATAAGATCTGGATTGGTTTGTGGAAGAACAACGTCAACTACATGGATCAAATAATCCGGTAATGTGTATTCAGTCAACGGAATACTATAATAAATTGAACAAGATGTGAGATGAATACAGTCAAGGGAAACCACCAATTGTTTGTGAAAAGGAAGCAATGAAGTATCTGTGCTTTGATAATAACAACTTTATGCCTCTAGTACAAATACAATATGACCTTCATGTTAAGATCAGTAGGAAGAATTTTTAAATTTAGTTGTTCAAACTTTGTTCTCTGATATGGGAATTGTTCATCAAAGAACTTGTATACTTTCCCATGAAATAGTATTAATGAAATGCCGCTTGTTGTACTCTATTTGAATTATAAGTAGTATATACCTATTGGTATTTCACTTTTCTTCTATAATGTACGATAAATATTTAAAACTTTCACATGTATCTAATTCATACTCACCTATTTTAACATATAAGCTGTAATTATTGTTTTTTTGGTAAAGACTAAAGAATTTAATTTTCCATTACCATGAAGAGAGTCAAGTACAATCCCAAAGTACAAATCAACAAAAGTAATTGATAGGAATGAAACAGTTTGGAGTTATCATGATCTACAACCGAATCTCCTATCAATAATCTCTAGACTCAGACGAAGTCTTTTACACCATGTGATGATCTTCGATGAATTTGGAATTCTCTGTATACTAGTGATATCTGGTCGCGCAATACGCGACCCTGGCCCAATATATTTTTAGATCTTAGAAATATTTGTATTTGGAAAAAAAAAATATTTTGTATTTGGCCCGATATATTTTAAAATTTTTTGAAGAGTTTAGAAATGTTTTATAAGTGTGATCATAGAAATGTTTGTATTTGGCATAAAAAGAAATTGTATTTGGTCCGATACATTTTAGAATTGTTAGAAGATTTTAGAAATGTTTTATAAGTGTTACTTCTTAAATATAAATAAACTTGATCAAATATATCTCTTGAAGTAAATGCTAGACAAAATATGAAAGCATGCCAATAAGTTTAAATATTAGTAAGATAATTTATTGATGTTCTCCATTGGTTGTGCCAAATCAATACTTAGTTTTGGAGATTTATAATAGTTTTGTAGTAAGCTTCCTCCCAAGGGTATACGCTTAATTGTTAGAACTATTTCTTCCAAAAGTTTATAGGTAATAAAATATCAAAAATGTTATTTTGAAACTGGTTAATCACAAATATGAGAATGAAAATAATGTAAATTTACATATGTTTCAAGTTATAGCAAAAAAGAACTCAACTCACCATAGCAAATAAAGAAAAAAAAAAGAAATTAAAAGATAACCCATTAAAAATTGAGAAATTTATTTGTATAAAAACACAAATAAACGTAAAAACATCATTCCTTCCCTCTCCGCCTCAAAATCATAAAAGGTTTCTCCATAAATTAATTAGAAGAAGCGACCTGAACTAGTTATATGACGAGGAACTAAAAAAAGTCCAAAAATCAAATCCAAAAAAGTATATTCTTGAAAGTCCGAACACAAAAAAAACACGCTTCATTTGCAAATATAATAATAATAATAATAATAATAATAATTGGTGAACTGGGAGTATGAAACAAAATCAAAAGCAATTAAACAAAGAAAAAACCCACTTCATAACTGACCATATACGGAAAAAAATCGAGACTCCATAATTAAAAAAAGAAAACCTCTCTAATTGAATGAAATATAAAAAAAAATTTAAAAATCACATTTTGTAACAAAAATCCAATTAATGAATTCAATCCAAATAAAAATAAAATCATACAAAAATTCTAGGCTAACTAACTATATAAGAAATTACATCATATTACCTGACAATGGCTACGGTAGCTGTAATGGATGGACGCATAAAAATAATAGTAATAACACTATTCTTGAATGGAAAAAATAAAAAATAATAAAAGCAAAACAAATGATCTGTAAAAATAAAATCATTTAAATTTTAATACCTGTAATTGCACCACCACAACGGCCGAAGCAAGATTAATGAGAATTTTTTTTCCTTTGTGTTTATGTGGAGAGGTAAAAAGAATATTTTTTGAAGTCGAAATTTTATCTGATTAGGATGTAGTTGATCATCACTAATGAAAATATCGAACATGCTAATTGGAATGGAGTATATTTCACCACATATTCTCAACTGATGATTGATGAGGAACTTGTTTTTTTTTTTTTTATTGTGGAGAAGGGATTGATTAGGGAGTCCATTTGTGGTAGAGATGGGGATGAGAATTTGGGTTTTTTATGAACCCATGGTTTTTTTTTTGGCGAAAATAGGAGGTGGGGGTGGATTTGGACTGCATTTACCTTTAAGTCTAGGAGATGTGAAAATAAAAATTTATTTTAAAAATATGATATGAAAATACCACATGGCAAATGGTGGTGCTTTCTCTTAAGTGTGGTTTTTGTTTCTAATATAGTAAGAGATGCAAATTTAATCTTCAAGTGGAAGATTATCTCATGAATCACTTTGGATACTTCCGTTGGCTCATTTCCAAAGATATACTCCCTCCGTCCCATAATTATTGTCCACTTTGCCTAAAAGATTTTGTCCCAAAATTATTGTCCAATTTGACTTTTTATGGATCAAGTTACACATTTGTCCTTAGTAAAAAATATTATCCATAAAATCTTTGTGGTTAAACAATTACTTATGTAGGGGTATATCCGGTTGTTTAAGATAAAATATAGTTAAGTTTGACCAAAAATAAAATATTTCATTTTAGTGAAATTGGACAATAATTATAGGACGAAGGGAGTATCTGTTCCTTGTTCTCCATAGTTGTAATTATTGTTAATATCACGATTATGAAAGTTACATTCTACATATTCCAATTTAGATTTATTAATAGTAAAACATTTAAATCATAACGTCTACCGTTTTCTAACTGTCACATTTACCCCGCCCTCACTTGTCATTTGGGAACAACCATATTTAGCTACTCCCTCCGTCCCATAATTATTGTCCAGTTTTACTAAAACGAAAGGTTTTATTTTTGGTCAAACTTAACTATATTTTACCTTAAACAACCGGATATACCCCTGCATAAGTAATTGTTTAACCACTAAGATTTTATGGATAATATTTTTTACTAAGGACAAATATGTAACTTGATCCATAAAAAGTCAAATTGGACAATAATTTTGGGACAAAATTTTTTGGGCAAAGTGGACAATAATTATGGGACGGAGGGAGTATATTATAACACAATTATGCCATGAAATGAAATCTTATACTCAACACAAATCGTGAGAGCCCAATGAGTCCTTCACATACTCAACATAAAGGTATTTACAATTGGGGTTGGCCCATTTTAGCTAGAAAAATTTCTTCCTACTCTTAGCTAGTTTTAAAAAGGAGTTACAAAACTCCATACGACAAATTCCAAGTCTAAGTCCTATCCGAAATGATTGTTTAATATTTCAGTTCCATACAACAAATTGATTAATCATTTTGGGCAGATAAAAAAAAACCTGTGCGCAAATAACCCTCCTATACACAAAACTGGCATTCTTTTTTTTTTTTTTTTGTTTTTTTTTAATGATTGAAACAATCAGTACAAACATGTACATTGTGTATGAAAAATCCTTTTCTTTCTGGGCTTGAAGAATCTGGCTTTGGAAAGCCTTGGAGTTCTCTTGTATATTCTTCTTGATTGGTTTTAGATTTTAGCAGTTCGAGCTTCATTAATCACTGCATAGATAATTGTTTTTTTGGTTTTTTATTTTTTGTTTTTTACATATATATCCGGTATTCATCCACTATCGTTATACCCGTGGGTATCGACTAACCGCTTACTAATATTTCAGTTCGAGCTTCATTAATCACTGCATAGATAATTGTTACAACTCTTTGTTTGTGAATTGTGATAATAGGCCAATAATTCCTGAGCCCAGAAAGGTATAGACCCTATTTTAAAAAAATTTGAGTCAAACTCGAACACAAAAGGAAAAACTAGGCTCGATTTGGCTTAGCTACTCGGTACTCTCACCTTTCAATCTTTCCCTTCACCTAATATAGTGCACAGAGATCTTGTTTAATACGACTATGTTAAACGTTATCAACTTAGAATAATGACTCTTGCGAAGAAAATTTTTCTGGGTATACCACGGTCTACCGCATTAATTTAACTATTGATTTTGCGACCTATCAATTATGCCTCGAGTTAAATCACTTGTTAAATTATGAAAGTTTGTTCAAATTTGTGACTGTGTGACTGTGTGTGGCTGAGTATTGACGGGAAAGAGAGAGAAACAAGGAAATAAATGGGCGATTTGCTAAAATAAATTTTCAATGAGGTAAAATTGGAAGTTTACTGTCGTATAATGAGTTGTACCTTGCTTAGTTGACCGAATTAAAAAAGTTATATATTTTAACAATTTTTTGGGATGGAAGGAGTAAAAATTAACAGAAACCCGTTAAATATAAAGGAAAAAGAGCTAATTGGACGAAATTAACATAAATTTTAAATTTATAAGTCAAAATTGAATAACGGAAAATCAATAGGGGTCGAATTGACCATGAGGACAAAACCTTGGGCTTTACGCCATTTCGTCCAAAATTACCCCAGAAAGAATTTAATAAGAAAATGAATGAGGATTCTAGAAAGAAGGTACGTTTCCCCAGGAAACCCTATTGACTCTATATATCTGTACAGTACTCTACGATTGAGGAGAAATCTGATAAAAAACGGCCGACAAAAATGGCTTCGGGATCCCGCCGAGCAAAACAGGGGACAAGCATGGGTCACGGATCCCGGCGATCCGATACATTTTTCCGTCCTCCGCCAGGTCATCACAGTGATTATTTACTAGAGGCAGTTCTCAATTCAGATCTCGGGGCAAGGTTGAAAGCCCAAGGTCCACCCCTTCGAGTTTACTCTCCTCCTCCGTTCCCCCTTTCTGGTTTTCCGCCGAATAATCCCTTCCCTCGCCGCCGTCGACAGCAGCATCAGCAGCATCAGCATCAGCATCAGCATCGGCGGCCCGATATTCCCGGCGGCGACCCTTTTTCATTGTCAAACTACCGTCCACATCCGGATCGTCGACAGCAGGATCGGTGGATCCCCCCTCCCTACCAAATTGTTCCATGGCCAACCTATGATTATTTTCCCCACGTCGCTCATGTTAGTTATTCTTCTTTTTTCTCCACTTGTTGTTTTATTTATTTTTTTTGGTGGGTTATTTCATCTGATGATCTTGTTGTTTGTTCATTTTTGCTTGTATTGAAGGGTGGGAAAGTCGTGCAATCACCAGTCGGTGGCCATCCCCGAACAGTACATGATTTCAGCTATCCCGAAGACAATGGGCCATCAGTTGTAGCTCTCCTTCTTCGAGAAGGGGTTTTGGTGGTGGTTAATCATTATCAAACTGGCCCAGGTTTGCTGTTAAAACCCTAAACCCTTTTGTATATTATTAGAAAAAAAAGTTGGTAATCATCATCCTCAGAAGGACGTTTGTTGCTCTTTAAACTGCTTGTTTATTATTCTGGTACATGATCCGAATTTGCATCCTGTGTATTTGGTGGTAAAGAGGAGAAATAAGCTCTCTTAGATTTCTTCAACCAATCAAATGACATCATTAGGATTCTGCATTTGTGAGATGCTGTTCACTAATTAGTAAAGTTAGAACTAGCTTGTTTACTTGGGTAGTGGTAAGCCGGCCGGAGCATTTGGTGAAGTTAGTATTTAACTAGTCTATTCAAATTCATTAATTTTCAGATTCAGATTCTCCCCAGCTGCTTTGTTCCCTAAGTCCTCGCATCATTGCCTCTATATCTGGAGGAGAGCTTCCGGACTGCCAAAAGTTGCTGCAAGATCTGCAGGCGATGGTATTCTTATATTCTCTTTTTTTTTTTTTTGAGTGTTGAGACCTTTTTTGTCATCTTGTTCCTAAATTCATACGTGGTTTGATGATTGATTGTATACACTGTGTATGCTAGTGTAATGACCATGAACGTGAGAAAGGGGGTGAGATTTCTCTTAAAGATGCATTATGCTTGATGACTCGCACACTGGCTTATCGACCTGAAGTGGGACTAATTGCAGGGTGGGATGACACAAAGGTATTTATTACTACAGTATTATTCTTTCTTTGTGTTTTAGGTTCTGTTGTGATTGTTTGATTCAGTCCTCCTACTCCTAGGAATTACGACTCGTTTCTTTCTTCTGGTAGGACTGTCCTGCCTTGTACCGTGTGGACGGTTTCAAGGGACTCATGAAAGGGGAAATAATAGCCACCGGAACTGGATTTAGACGAATCTATGGTACACTGAACTTGAATGCCATGTTCAGCATGAGTGATGAGGGTCGTCTTAAGTCTTGGCTGAAGGGTTTTCTGCACAATGAGCTTAGTCACAAGTATGCCACTTTTTTTTCCTTATTCTCTTACTCATTCTACTTTACTTTGTTTTTTGTTTAGTATTGATACCTGTGTCACATTTCAGTCGTCTTAATTTGTTTTTGTCAAATTCCAATCATCTTGATTTGTTTTTTTCGTTCCTTTTTTTTTTCTTCTGGGGATAGAAACTATGGCTCTTGGTCTTGTTGGGCTGTTGACGAAGCTACAAAATTTGCCCTAAGATGTACATGCTATGTTGCAGCTGATATTGAGGAAACTGGAGATTTCATTAGCGGTAATAATATTTGCAGTGCCCTTGTATCACTTTCTTCAAGTTATAGCCTAGGATCTGATAGCGATCATTTTTTCCTCCAATGATGAAGTGCATTTATTTGTTGTTTTTAAGTGTACCACGTTGGACGTCATGGGTTGGACCACGTCCGTTCTGGCGAGCCAATAAAAGAGGTTCTGCAGAGCATTGGGTTAGATATGCCAAAGAAGATTGAGTATACTAGGGTGCCTCCTCCTGACTACCTTCCTAAGCTCCCCCCGTTGCCTGATTTTCTTCTGAAGCAGCTCCAAAGACGTCAAATCTGAGCTCTATCATGTGATCCTCTTTGAATTTTAAAATTGGGGTTTCTGATTTCGCGCATGGTTTTAGTTGATTTCTTTATGGTACTGAAGTTAATCGATCAGCATCTGTTCGTGTATGTAAAGTGGATTTCTTTATGGTATTGAAGTTAATCGGTCAGCTTCTATCCATATGTGTAAAGTGGATTTCTTTATGGTATTGAAGATAATCGATCCGAAACTATTCATATTAGTGTGAAACATGAATTCTACGTAACTTTTTGTTCATTGTTGTCAGCTCAGCGTGATATTTGTAATTACTTTCTTTTCTATTCTTGAATGTAATTATAATTATAATTATTTTGTGTTTATGTTTTTATGTTATTAACTTTTTAATTGAATTAATATATAATTGAGTTGTTTGGTTATTTAATTTACACGTTATGAAAAAATGAGGAAAAAAAATGTTTCTAAACGAAGTAATTAAAATAGAATTACAGCTTAAATTGAAAATTTTCATGTACCAATTTCAAACCTTAAATATAATATACAAAAAAATAAATAAATAAGACCTTGACACCAAAATATTATTTTTATCCAATATAGAAGTGGTACATTTCTTTGTCTCTTTCAAATAGAAATACCATTGTAGATAAAGGAATTGTTAAGTAGACAATGATTCCTCTCGCAATGTGGATCAAGGTGTGTAGATACGCGTTTGTTCTTCTTATATTCTAGTAAATAAAAATATAGAATTAACATTGCGGTAAGATTTTAAGGAGAATCTTATCTTACTCAAATTCTATTTTTCGTTTGTGTTTGTGTTTCATATATATATATATATATATATATTCATCAAAGAATCAAACATTTAACATTTTCATCTTCCAACCTGCCCAATCATCGACAAGAATCTCTCTCATCCGAAAAGGACTTCATCCTCGACAAAATTCTCTACATTCATCACATTCAAGAATCATCGTTACTGCCATCACTGTACTCACACCGTCAAATCAATTGAGTAGAGAAGAAAAAAGGTTCTTAATTTTCATTATTGTTTCAATTTGTGGGTAGAAGTTAGTAATCATGATTTTTTTTCGTAAATCTATCTTTGGACAGTGATGAATGTTTTTTCGTGATGGTTTCATTTAGTATTTATACAATCTTTCAATTGATATTTTTGAAGTTTATATTTAATGATAATTTATTTCATAAAGTTTGTTACTAATGTTACCGTCATTGTCATTGCCGTGATCACTCCTCTTGATGTTGTTATTCGGAAATCCAATGTTCAAGCTCAGATCAAAGATCGACTCGACATTTGGTTATAATTTTTCTTTTACTTTAGTTCAAAGTAATGAATATTGCTTGATTTATTTAGTTTATAATATTTTACTTTAGTTCAACATAATGGTTATTACTCAATTTGACATTTAAGATATGAGATAAATGATTAAATTAAAAATTTAGACTTGAAATATTTGAAATTATGGGTTTAAATAACATAAATATAAAAGTTATGGATCATTAATCACATAAAAATGTAATTGAGGGTTAAAAGTGAAAAGTTTGTATTAAATACACTTCAAAAATAGTGCGACAAAATTTAAGAAAATTTTAAAAGTGGGACAAAAGTAAAAATCCGGTTTGACCCCTATTTGACCGATTTTCGGCGATTTTCTGAACTACTCTGCTCGGCTTAAGATCCAGTTCCCGGTTCAAACGGTTCGATTGATCAATCTGAGCCGAGTTTGACAACATTGCCTAAATCATGTAAGAAGGCAAAAAAAATGTTTTTTTTTCCATTTTTATTGAAACTAGTAGGATCTATTTGTATTTGTGGCATTTTTTTCTGGAAATATTATCGTGGTTTAATATTTCATACACTTATATATTTCTTTTTTTTTTCTCTTTCTTTTATTTTTATTTTAATTTTAATTGTATGTTCAATCTTGATACCCAATTTCAATTGATAGTTTGAAGTTCATAAATGGGGACGAAAATGTTCATAATATGATTATTTTTTGTTCATAATTTTATTTTCATGAATCGCTCTATCTATATACTAAACTTGATATTGATATCTTAAAGATCATATATTTAGCAAAAAATGTTCATACCATGATTATTTTTTGTTCATGATTTTCTTCCTCTTACATGGGTGGTTTTTCTGAAATTTCTGTCTTGGTTTGGAAGAATAAAAGACCCCTTTATTGCTGAAATTATAACAATATTAGATTTTATTTTTTTACTATCTGAATGTTTTTTTATTCATGTGTTCAGCTGTTGATCACAATATCTTAGGAGATGCTTGGATCAGTGGTGTCATTCCAAATAGGTGACTGTCATTCCAAATTTTGTGGATTCCCTTGCTTGGTTCAAAGATTTGGAATGACTAAGGCCCAAAAAATTTGGATTCAATCCAATAATTCCATTCCCTAACATGTAGATGAATTTGTCTCGGTAAAACAAAAAAAATGGCTTTCTTTCTATTTTTGCCCCTCTTTACATCCCACCATTCTCTCAACCTCTCCTCATCCCTTGACTTCTAACAGCCGTCAGCCACAACCATCTCCAACATGAACTCCACTGCTGCAACTCTTCACCCCTTTCTCTCTCCAATTCCAATTGTAGCTCCCTCCAATCTATAAAAAATTGCGAAGAAAAAATTAATTTGTACTCCCTAGTCAACACAAACCAAGTGACCATCACTAGACTTCCCTCGTAGTCAACAACACCAGCATCGTTGTCGTTGCCGGATTGCCGCCTTTGGTCAGATCTACTCACCCAGAAGCCACCAACTGGTCGACCTCCATCTTAGGTTGATTTCGTGAAGTGGGTTTCATAGTTAATTAGTAAAAGTACTGATGGTAGTTGTTTTCTTAATTTATTGAAGCAATTATTATATTAGGTAGTGTTGTTGTGATTAGGCTGACGGAGAACTCTTGTTGAATTGGTGGCGGCAGAATAATCAAGCTAGGCACGATCGATGAAGAGGGGATAAATTTGGAATTTCAAGTCCATTCCAATTGAATCATAATTATGAACCAAGCACTTGAAATGAAGTTTTGATTCCCTTTAACATTTTTGTTTGGAATGAATCTTACTTTCAATGACTCGCAAACCCATAGCCTTTGTTGAACCAGGCACCCCCTTAGAGTTTTTTTGGATGTATTGTAATTGATTCTTGGCCCATAGAGAGATTTAGTAATGTTTTTAATTACCTCTGATACTTTTGTAAAATTTATTGTGTTATTTAGAATTGATATATACATATTTTCAAGAAAATTTGATTAATAGGTTCATTAAAGCCTAGTCTTTTTAAAAGAAAAAATAATCAAAGCATGTAGCTTGTTTTGATACTTGTATAACTGGTACCTTTTGTTTAATGATGAATGTAATTGATTTTTGCTACCGACTTTATCATGTTCTCAATTTTATTCTAAATTTCAATTGATAGTCTCATGTTCGTACATATTTGTGAAATTTTCATATATGAGTAGACTGTCGGGGAGGTCACCAAACTATTGAAATATGCGTGGTTTGGTCACTATACAAATTTAACTACTGTGGAGGTCGCTATACTTATGAATAGTGCATGAAATATGTCATTCCGTTAAATTTGATCGTTAGTCTAAACTTTTCGTTAAAATCAAGGGTATTAATATTTATTATTGACATTTTGCTCCTAAAAAAATATTATTTCATTGTTCTTATAATCTTTTTATGTTTCTTTATTTTTTAATATTTATTTTTTGTTTCTATGTGTATAAGAGTTTACATTTGTTCTGTTTTTTGTTTTTTGAAAATTATGATTTTCTGAAAAATATTTTTATAGTGTTTACTTGGATCATGAAACAATTTTAATCAAATTCAAATAATATTTGATAATCTAAGATATTTTATGATTATACGTAATGAACAAACCGTTTTTTAAATTAATTTCACGAATGAATTTCAAACTAGTGGCAATTTCATAATCCAGAACATTTACTGGTGAGAACTATTTTGTAAAAATTCCAATTTTTTGGGGGTAGAAGTGTACATTTTGTTTAGTATTGATACCTGTGTCATATTAAGAATAAACAAGAGTATTACAATATTTTAACAAAGATAAGTTTTATCTCCTTGAATTTGTACAAAATCTCTTTAGCGATATTTATTCGTGAACGGAGTGAGTATAATGTTTTGTTAGTCTAGTGTCAGTATTAAAGTTTTCGATATTCTGGTAGTTGTAGGAAGAAAGTTCAAACAATGTTGTATTAGTGCAATTAACTTTAGTTCACAACTCAATAAACAATCAGAATCGATTTAAAATTCATCAATGTCAATGTCTACCGAATACGTCTGAGTTATCACGATGCCTTTACGTTATAGCTTTCCTTTAATAAGCAATTAATTTTATACTCCGTTCCATAATTATTGTCCAGTTTGAGTTTTCATTTCTAATTCAAATTGTACTAAAAATAAATCTCAAACTGGACAATAATTTTAAGATAGGAAGTACTATTTTTTAAAACTGTCGCTAATTATAGACCGTAGTGTTCTTTCTTCTCCTTCTTTTTTCTTTTGACAGAATGCATTTGCCATGCGATCCTTTTTTCAATAGATTTTTTTGGTCTTATAAATTTTTTATTAGTAAAATTTTTCATCTCAATATATATAAATCATGTGCTTTTTTATATTTATAATGCACTTTTTTACATATCCAATTAAAGAAAATGAAAAAAGCATACCAAACCGGACATTTGAGTTAGCTACTATCATTTTTCACTAAAATTGGACTAGTGAAGAAGGAAGTTTCTGAGAAAGAAAAACTTGGCCTCAGCACGCGAAATGTTGAAAAGGAAAACAATATGGATTACTCCCTTCATTTCTTCTTATAAATCAATTTAGACTTTACACGTAAATTAAGGAGTCAATCATTGAATAATTAATTTATATGTCAACTATTTATTTTATTACTTATTAATTATTTTAGAACTATAAATAAGGCTAGACAAGAAAGGGTTAGCATCATTTATTGAGAACAAATAGAAAGTTAATCATCAATTAGGCTTGAAATTCTAAGATGATCTATATTTTGAAATATTTCTCCAAATCTAAAATGATTTATAAAAAGAAATAGATGGAGTATGGGTTATGCTAGCCTTTTTAACTTTTTTTCCCTTCCTTTTTTTCGAGCATATTTATTGCTATCTTAACATGATCATCAACAAAATTTGTTATTAGAATCTCCGATAATTTTCACCATTTAATAATCCACAGAAAAAAAAGTTCGCGGAATCTAATTTTCTTTTTCTTTCTTTGCAAGCATTTGATTAAATTCATATTTAGTCCTTAATACATTAACTATTTGCCAAGTTTTTGTTGGCCTACATTCACTTATATTTTGATAAGTAAATCAGAACGTTCAAATAATAGACTAATCGGAAAGTAGGCTGCCTTTAATAATACGAATCATAGTCCTTAACCCAAAGCATCATTTGAGTTTTTCCAAATGTTCCCAAATGATAACAATTCACATAATGTCAATTTGTGGAGGCAAGCGATTCAAACTCCAACGATGGTATTAAAGGCAGTAACTACACTTCGTCACAAGCGAAAGAATAGTGTAGAATTTTATGGATCGCCAATCGTACATATTAGGCACCTTTTGGTTCAAAGTTTAAAGCAACAGTGATGCCTTGTAGAATGACTGATAAATCATAAAATAAAAGTTACTCTCTCCATTTTGAAAGATATATCGTTTTAGAGTTTGGTAAATTTTTTTAAATATAAGTCGCTTTCACAAATCAAAACATATTTGACCACTTTTTACCGAAACTACTATTGTATTGAAAAGAAAAAAATGTCGTTTCTACCCAAAACTTTACTCTCGTCGTCAATCATACCCAATAGATTTTCGGTTAGCCAATTTTACCCTAATGTTTGAAATTTTCACCAATTTCGTCAAATCGGCCCATTTTCCATCAAAATTAACAGATCTCCGTTAGTTTTTTAATAAAATAATAAATTTAAATACAAAAATACCCCAGTAATTTTTAAAAATAACTCCTAAAATATATAAAAATAACAAAACAGTCCCTTTTCACTTTTTTGTTCCATTTTTCTCAACTACTTTTAATGACCATAAAAGTATATTATATGAGTTTTAAAAAAATATTTATTAATTTTCAAACTCTACCGTAAAATTAATCTTTGTATAGTTGTAACACATGATTGTATTTATGTAAGCATGTTAATCTTTGTAATAATATAGTTTAGCAATAAAGACACTATTTTTCTGATTTATTTTATTCTTCCTAGCATAAAGATTAAAAACATTTAAATGAAACTAATATTCCACATAAAAATAAAATATTAGCTCAAATAAAAAATAATATATTAGTGTAGTTGAGTGTATAATTTATTAATGAGAGAATTTATTAAAAAAAATTTTATACTTATCAATGCGAGAATTTAACATTTTGTAATAATTATTTGAGATATTAATATATCTTACTATAGAGGAAGTCTTACTGGCTTATTCTATATGATTTTAGTTTAAAATAAATGAATGGAGGTAACAATATAGTAATAAGTTGTTGTGAGAGAAAATAGGTTTTAGATTCAAGAAGGAAAACTTATGTTTGGAGGATTTTTTTAAGGTTTTAATTATTTTATATTTTAGTTATTTTTTTACGAATTATATTAATGCAAGTTATAGTCTCTTGAGTTAAATTGTATTACACTAAAACATATTAATATTTTTTTTATTTGAGCTAATATTTTATTTTTATGTGGAATATTAGTTTCATTTAAATATTTTTAATCTTTATGTTAGGAAGAATAAAATAATCAGAAAAATAGTGTCTTTATTGCTAAATTATATTATTAAAAAAATTAACATACTTATATAAATACAATCATGGTTACAACTATACAAAGATTAATTTTTACAGTAGAGTTTGAAAATAATAAATATTTTTTTAAAACTCATATAATAGACTTTTATGGTCATTAAAAGTAGTAAAGAGAAATGGAACAAGATAGAGAAAAATAAAATAAAAAACACAACCCACCCAGCACCAGAGCCTCATCCGGTTGCAGCAGAATTAGAATTCCTTCAATCCTTCAAGAAGTATGGTTGGTCCGTCGATCTTCTTCGCGTTGGTATAAAATCAGAATTGGGATATTTTTTTTGCTTTTCTTTGTTTTCTCGATTTTTTTTTTTCAGAAAATGAACAAAAATTGCTGGGTCAAAGTTTGTAGGGCCCACAATTAGGAAGAAAATATTAAAAAAATAAAGAATTAACGGATAGAAGAATTAAACCGTCAACTTTTCGAAAATTCTGTTAAACTGACCAAAATTGATGAGAAAAACACTTCAGGGGACTTTTTTAGTCAACTGAAAATACATGGTGACTCAATCTTGCTACTATTAAAAGTTGGGGGACGAAAAATGTATCCGGTCCTTATCAAATTCATAATCAGATTCGCCCCAGCTCTTTCGTGCTATTGGTCGACGGATCTTTGCCATTATTTCTGGAGGAGAGGTTCCCGACTGCGAAAAGTTGCTGCAAGATCTGCAGTCGAAGGTATTTTATTTTTCTGATTATTGGTTTTGAAAATTTTATGTCATAACTATCCCTAGAATATGTTCATTTTCTTGTGCTATGTGCTGTGATGATTGATTTAGGATTGTTTTCCACTTTATATGGCACTAAAGTAAGATTTTGTTTGAACTTTAAAGGTTTGGTAGCAGCTCTAACTAATGAGAGTGCTACAAGTAAATCTGTGTATTTTGCACACTGTACATCTGATATGAACTTTATCACTCATCTTTTGGCAGAAGCACCAGAGCAACTTGTCGGTCCTCTTCTGGCGAACACACACGCCACATTATTATTAAAAGGTCAAAATGCATGCTACACATGATGGAGTTGACTATGGGAGAGTTAAGCCTGGATATGGGTGATGGCATCAAAGGAACCATTATTCAGGTGTTTTTCTCTTGATTATCAATGTTTTGTGATCTATGAAAATCTCGAATGAATTTAAATTGCTCAAAATGCACAAGGGCCTTCCCAGGGCAGGAATTCTCTGGCTAAATATTTATCCCCCTTTCTTTATTGTGTGATTTCTGTGCAGAATATGAAGCTATTGGGTCTCTGAGATTTTGATTGGAGTTGGTGACTGAATGATCTGATTTGGGACTTAAAGGGCCGGAGTGCATTTGTGGAGAAGTGCGCCGAGGCTCTGCACTTTTATTTCCAGAGTTAACAATGTGGTCGGATATGTCTCTTGACTATGCTTTATTCCAGATGTCGACAAAGCGCTCCTGGTGAGATATGTGTTTGATGAGACTATTTACTGGGCGTGGCATTGAAAAAATTCCGACTTCTCTAACTAATCCTATTGAGTTTCCCTTTGGCAGATGTGGGTTGGTCTTTTTCAGTGGCCAAAACACTGTGAAACTGGCGTCTGGATTGTCGAAGCCATTTGCTACACATCTAAGGGTTATGGAGGAGCAGGTTTGAGCATCTCTTCACTCCATTAAGCTCGAAGTTGAAAGGCGAAATGATGCTGAGACGTGGTTTTCTGAGGGAACACTTGAGAGGTGCTGACCTCATGTTTCTGAACATTGAACATTTTTAAACAGATATATCGGATATACTATTATTAGCATGGGCTCATCATTCCTTCCGGGTTTGTACGGTTTGTTAGTACAGCGTAGATTGTGGAAATGCCAAATACCTTCGATGCTGAGGTCTCTCAGTTAGAATCAGCTCATAAAATATTTTCACAGACACATGTGAGGATGTGAACATCCATATATCCAGGAGTTTTTAGTTGTTGCTTTTCCCTAAATTAAAAAGTTCTCATGGTTTTCTCCAAAACTTATTGGGGACCGGAGATCAGCTCTCTGGTGCTGCTAAGTTTTGGTTCTGTAGCGGCTTCCATGCTACTCAATTTACGTGCATTACCTGCAATATACATGCAGCTGCATGCTTGACATACAATTGTGCATAGATGGATCAACTTTGATAGTTAAATTGTACTTTGTATTCAGCCAAATCTTCCATTACAATCCGAAGCATACTTGTAACTTTGGTTCTATCTGTTGTTAATGACTCTAGCGAAATATGGACGCATAAAAACAAAATCAGAGCCCCTATTGATTTGTGATGAGCCAACTGCAAGGGCTTCAACATTGGAACCTATGGCGGAAACAGTCATATGGTAGGTTGAGCTGAGTTGCTTTTATTATGTTCAGTCCTTTGAATTATGATTGATTTCGTTCTTCTTGTAGGGCTGTCCTGCCTTGTATCGTGTGGATGGTTTTGAAGGACTTATTGAAGGGGAAATATTAGCCACTGGATCTGGATTTCAACGCCTTTATGGTATACTGGACTTGAATGCAATGTTTATGTTCGAAAATGACAATAGTCTTCTTAATAATTGGCTGAAGGGTGTTCTACATAGGGCGCCTCGTTGGAAGTATGTCACTTTTTATTCATCTTCCTCCTTCATTTTGGTTTTTGTGAAGTAGTATTTTTTTCACATTTTAGTGATCTTGATTTTCTTTTTTCCCCTAAATAGAAATTATGGCTCTTGCTCACGTTGGTCTGTCGATGAAGCTACGAAGGTTGTCCTAAGAAATATATCATGGGTTGCAGAGAGTGAGGGAGGTGGAGACTTCGTTACCGGTATGTTTGTTATTCTTTATTTTATATGTGAGGATTTGATGTCTACCATTTTTACCCCTGATGGTGAGTATTTCTTTCTTTGTTTTTTAAGTGTGTTCTGTGGGACGTCGCGGGGTGACTTGTGTGCGTCGTGACGAGCCAATCAAACACGTTCCGCAGACCTTGGGGAAGGATATGACAAAGAGGGCTGAGCTTCGTGGGGGGAAACCTCCCGCCTACCTTACTGATGTCCCTTTGCCATCATTCCGTCATCCTGCGGGGAGACCTCCATTCACGTGGGTTTAGCAGTTCGATAGAGGCTTATGCCGCCATCCCTTCAGAAGTTCCAGATGTTTTGAGTTTGACTATATGGTTTTAAATTTCTTTAAGTATGGTTTCTATGTTCATCGTTTGGAAATACTACCAAAATGTTCGATAAATATTTAGAATGATTGGGATCTTTTTTTTTTTTTTTGTTTTTTGAAAACGATTGGGATGTTTGTTATTTTAGGTCTTGGAACGTCTGTGTTTTATGGAAAGAATTTTATCTAAACTCTCTTGGAGAAAAGAAATAAATTCTTAACATTCTTAAGGCTTTGTTTGGTTGCATTGAATTGGGATCAAGAATTGGAATTGGAGCTCTATGATTCCAATTCTTGTATTTGGTTGCTAAAAATAGAGATCCAAGAATTGTAATTATAATTCCAGATAGGGCTCAATTCTTTATTTTCAATTCTTTTGTGGGACCAAATAATTAGAATTTAAATTCAAGGCACTTAAAAAACACATGCGGGTCATAGTCGGGTCGTTTCTGAGTTATAACCTAAACGGGTCGTCCTATCAATTTTTGTCTTTTGGCCCTTTTTTATATATTTTTTATAATTTTATTTTTTTCAGCTTTTTTCTTTTTCTTTTTTTGCTTTCAGTGCTTCCTGGCATTTTTCTTTTCTTTTTTTTTTCTTTTTTTTGGGCTGTTTGTCTCATTATTATTATTATTATTATTATTTCATATATATCATTTTAATAATTATCAACGAAATAAATCTAAAATTAATATTGTATCTTTTTTACAAAAAAATCAAAAGTATAGTTGTCACCAAAAAAAATTAATAACTAAATATTTTAGTTTTTGTTAATATTTTTATTATATTATGACATAGTAAACAACATAACATTTTCATTTTTTTAATAGAAATTGTTCCATATATACACCTATATTATAATATATATATATATATTTTAACTATTCATGGCATCTTTTCACAAAAAATTATGTAAGTTTAGTTTTAAGTATCTATTATTTAATATATTATTATATAATAAAAATAAAAATATTTAAGCATATATTATATACTAATGTTAATCTATGTATAAATGAACCTCAATATTCATAAACTGAATTTACAATGTTATATAATAAAAATCTTTTTAATTTTTGATATAAATCAAAACATCAAAAATTAAAAATTTTGGAAAATAATAAAAGAGAGAAAAACAAAGATATTTTACGTGTTACTTGTTTGTGTATTAAGTGAGAATTTTAATTATCATATTAATAATTCTTATACGTAATAATATTTTTTTTCCAACAAAAATGTGTGTACATAATAAATTACAAAATTGATATAGCAAATTAATTAATAATAATTCGTTTTAACAAAAAAAAGTAAAAATTGTATTAGTTAAACAACCACAAAGTAGTCAAATATACATATACATAATGAATTTATTTATTTTTTTGTGCTATACATATCCATAATAAAATAATTTTTTTTTTAAAAAAAGTTTTTGACAAGAAGTATAAATTGTACTAGTATTAGTTATACAATAACAAACTAATTTCAATTCTAAAGTATCCAAATTTTTATGCATCCAAACGCAAGAATTGGAATTAGAACCTTAATTCTAGTAAATTTTCAAATCTCCCACACAAGAGAATTGATATTGAATTACAATATTAATATCTCATTTTCAATTTAATAGTATTGTAATTCCAATTCAATTGCAATTCAATCTAACCAAACGGAGCCTAACAGTTTTGGTTGTGTTGTATTAAATGGTTGTCATCTCTTATCTTTTTGGTGTTAAAGACCCTGTCAAAAGGTCTGTGAGAAGAGTTATATTTAACAGTGCAAGGACTAATAAATGCCACCGAGGTCCAGATATGCTCAGGAGGCGACATTTTTTTGGTTCTTGTGTCATACATAATTGTTTGTATGTAGCTGAAATTTAGACTAAACTGTATAAATGGTCCCCTACATTTGTCTGAATTTAAATTTTGGTCCCCTATATCAATATGTATATGGATTGAGCCTTTACATTTCATTTTGAAATTTTTTTGATCTCTTTTCACTGTTCCGTCACCATTTCCGTCTTGATGACCGTAGACCCTACCAAGTCAGGGTATTTTTGGAATGACACATATAAGATCAAAATAACAAATCTTTAAATGGTCCCCAATATTTGTCCGAATTTAAATTTTGGTCCCCTACATCAACATGTATATAGATTAAACTTTTACATTTCATTTTGAAACTATTTTTGTCTCTTTTCACTGTTCCGTCACCATTTCCGTCTTAATGACCGTTGACCCTACCAAGTCAGGGGTATTTTCGGAATGACACATATAAGATCAAAATAACAAATGTTTTTATAATAAAATATAATAAAATATTAAAAATTATTATTTTATAATAAAAAATTAAATAATTTAAAAATAAAAATAAAAAATTAAAATGATTTCAAATTTCAAATTTCAAATTTTTTTTCCCATTTCGCACCTTTGTGGGTCCCACATGCCAGTCAATTTCCCCTTTTTTTGTTACAGTAAAAAAAATCAAAATTAAAAAGCAAATTTTTTATCCGAATTTTCACCTACCAATTTTTATTCGGTCGAAGTAAAAAATTCAGTGAGCCCAAAGGGAAGAAAATTGAGGGGGTGAAAATCCGGATAAAAAATGGTTTATTTTAATTTATAGTTTGAAGTAGGGATATAATTTAAAATGTGGTTTTAGTGAAAATTCAAAAAGCCGGCGGGGGCAGGAGGTTGTCCGGCTGCGGGCGGCGTCGGTGGAGGTGTGGAGGTGGTGGTGTATAGATAATATTATTTTGTTTGAATTTCTATCCCAACAACTTTTTGAATTTTTACTAAAACCACATTTTAAATTATATCTCCAATTCAAAGCAATAACTAAGCCAAAAACTTAAATAAACTATTTTTTATTCAAATTTTCACCCCACAATATTCTTGCATTTTTTAAAAAAAATTTGAATTTTTAATTAATTATTATAGCGCGGTAAAATTTTAGAAATAACTCAAGATTTATTGTAGCAGTCAAAGTCAAAAATTTTGGTTTTGTTTTGTTTTTTTTTTTAATTTGAATTTTGTATTATTTATTGTGACTCGATAAATTTTTAAAGTTACAGTGGGCGGTTAAAAGTGCAACATAATTAACATTTATTTTAGTAAAGAAAAAAGTAACTTTGAAAATAATTTAAATTTTAATATTTTAACAATTAAATAATAAATATGAATTTATATAATATTTTTAATGATTTAAATTTAATGGAAGTTTAATTATTTAAAAAGACAAAAATACCCTGATTCCGAAATGTCAACTGCCGGTCAACATCGAGTTGGACGGAAAAGTAGTCGAAACAGTGAAATGGGACAAAAAAAAGTGTGAAAATATATTGTTTGGGACTACGGTATTGAAATGTTAATGTTAGAGACATAAAATCAAGTAAGTCCAAATGTAAATGACCATTTAGATATTTTAGTTAATATTATAACACCAAGCCTGAGAGCTCATGTAGTCCTTCACATTTATTAAGGTCCTATTCCGAAATAATTATCTAATATTTCAGTTTAATACAACAAATTGATTAATCATTTTGGGCAGATTTTTTTTTTAAAAAATAAAATTCTGCGCCCAAATAACCCACCTCCCCACAAAAGTGGAGTTTCTTTTATGATTCAAACAATCAGTATAAATAAACATTTACATTGTGTATGTATGTACGAAAAATCCTTTTATTTCTGGGCTTGAAGAATCAGGCTTTGGAAAGCCTTGGACTCATCTCTTTATATTCGTCTTGATTAGTTTTAGTTGTTGGAGCTTCATTAATCATCACAGCATAGGCCAATAATTCCTAAACCCGGAATAGTTGTTGGAGCTTCTTTGTTGGTCTCTTTTAGCGAATTACTCCCCAAAGTTTGAACCATAACACTCAAGGCTACAAATTTACTCAAGTTTTGCTCCAAACTCATGTCTAATTCAATCTAATAAAAAGGAAAAACATCACTAAACATTAAAGGGTCTGTTTGTTTCGTTTTTTTAGTGTGTGCTTTTAGATGTTTTTTGTATTGGAAATGTAAAAAGATGTATTGAAAATGTAAGAAGGTATGCTGGGATGAGACAGTTATTAATATTAAATTCTGAAAAAACAAAAAAAAAAAGAAACAAACAAAAATTTCGTGAAATGCGAGAAGTAGTCGACTGATCGATATGTATCCTTTATCATAAAGTGAATCCATTCATCAAAAATACATCTCACAAGATTCTTGGGTAATTATATACTAATTCTCTTGTTAACGTGCTTTTAAGCAGTCAAAACATGACGATCAAAATTAAAATATCATTAACCAATTAAAACCGTCATAATCAATGTTATCTTTGAATAAAATCTCCGCAAACCCTATAGTTGTTGGCCCCAAAATTTAAAAGAATTATTAACGTGGCCACGTTTAGATTGATACAGAGTAAAGATAGAGAATATTTTTATTAAAAAAACGAAATAGAGAAGAAAGAAGAAGAAAACTATACACGCCTTCCGCGTCATCTCTTAAAATTCAACGCCGTTAATAATTTAACGGAAACGGAGACTTCCCCAGTTTCCATCTTTCTTCATTCATTTCGGGTGATTTCAACAAAGCTTTAAAAATCACATTTTTCAATACGGAACTCCGACCAAAGAGAAAACAGATTCTGATGGGGGCGGTAAACATCTGGAACGCCGTCCAAGTGGCGGAGGGAGCTCGGGAGACTCATTCCTCCGACATTCCATGCTCTTCTCTCACCGTCGACCACTCCCTTTCTCTTCCCAACATGAAGCCTCGGATCGTGTACGTTTCTTTATCCTTCTTCCTTATCCTTTTCCCCCTTTTTTTCCGGATGTTTTTAGAATGAGGAAATTGTAGCTCCTTTCTAAGGATTTGATTCTGTTGTTAGTTACGGTATCTTGTTAGCTGAAGCTTTTCGTGTATTGGTGTTTGTTCACGTCCTGCTTGATTCTTTGCAAAGCGAATGAGATATTTTGATGAATATGTCTGTGAACTTGTCATTGCTGAAGTAGTAACCTAACTTCGCTAAAATGTTGGCTCAGTTTAATGATTGTCTTAGTTAATTGAATGGATTAGAGTTGCTTATTAATGTGTATTTTTAAGTTACTAGCTTATGACAGACGGTATATTTGACCAATATGTCCTAATTCGTGTGGACAGAGAGCTGTGCAAAGATCTGTTCAAGAACTGGACCAATTTGGATGAGTCTAGCTTCTCTGTTGACACGGTTTCTGGTGGCATTACCAATCTATGTAGGATTTCACCTTACCATGATAAGGGGTTGATTTTGGTGTTCTGAACTTAATTATTCCATCAGTATGGATAACCAATGACGAGGTTTCTCTTTTTTGTTTATCGAGTTTTCTACAAATGTAAGCTAAGAATCGTCTCTTTGATTGCAGTATTGAAGGTATCTGTTACGGAAGAAAGTGGGAACGTTGTGAATTTGACTGTACGATTATATGGCCCCAACACAGAGTACGTCATCAATCGTGAAAGGGAACTACAGGTCAGGCGTAAGCTTGTTATCAATGTTAGCAATTAGTGATGTTTCTTCATTTGCTAAAACTTCTTGGGATCCTGTAATGTTGCGCCACTGTGCGAGCATGATGTCACTGTCTTTTCAAAAACGTGTTTATTGATTTCAACTAACCGACGTGAAACTTGTGTGGTGCTTTTGACACATCTTTCAAGCTGGCATTCTTTTATTACAACGTTTTCCTTATTCTGTAGCATTGTTTTTGCAGGCTATACCATATCTTTCAGCTGCAGGATTTGGTGCAAAGTTACTTGGCGTATTTGGTAATGGGATGGTCCAATCATTTATCAATGCACGGACTCTAACTCCTTCAGGTATCTCTTTCAAACGGACATTTGATATTCATATTGCCATTGGGCAGATAACTCTACCCAACTAACATGATTTGATTCCGCCAGGGATCAAACAGCTATTTCACTTTTATTGATGTAGACAGTTAATATACAGCTTTAGGTATTCATTAGCTGTTCGTTGAGTAGTTTCTCAACCTCTGAGTTGTGCCAAATTATTTGTCCAAGTATTATTGTTAAGGACAGCAAGGGCCTAAATTTTGTGCTCTGAACTTTGGGAAATATGCAACCCTACTTCAAGATATTGGTCTATAGTTGAGATGCATTTTATGGCTAGGTGGCTTGCGAGATAGCTGAACTGAGATTATTGCGTTGATGAGAAGAGTTAGGTCGTTTTGGTCATTATATTGCAGCGCTACTTGATATAACTTTTCCTTCCTTCCTCTGCGTTGGAGGTTTTGTGATATTATTCAAGTTTGTTTATTCTTGTTTATATGTTGTCAGACATGAGGAAACCAAAGGTAGCAGCTGAAATTGCTAAACAACTTCGTAAATTTCATCAGGTGGAGATACCAGGCTCTAAAGAACCTCAATTGTGGAATGACATCTCTAAATTCTTTAGAAAAGGTTTGTTCTCCAGCATTTTTAGTTCTCCAGTTTAGCATTCATTTCCCACATGGATACAGTAGCATTGCCTATAAATCTCAGCAGAGCAGACATAATATCTCCCCATCTGTTTTCTCATGCTTTTTGCATGTTCTTGTTGTTGCTTGTAGCGTCTGGATTGAACTTCGATGATGATGAGAAGAAAAAGAAGTACGAAACGATTTCATTTGAAGAAATCGATACTGAAGTTTCTGAACTGAAGGTTTGTAAGTTTGTTCTAAATCTACAACTTCAGTTTTAAATAGTGTGGTCACTTCAACCTACTTCATTCTTTCATTAAACTTTATCATCTATAACAGGAATTGACTGGGCATCTTGAGGCTCCTGTAGTTTATGCTCATAATGACTTACTTTCTGGAAATTTGATGCTGAATGATGAAGAAGGTACTTCTCTCTTGGTTAGCTTCTTCTTTCTGGATGTGCTGTCTCTTTCCCTCCTGTTGACATCCACAACCCCATTCCCTAGTAGCTATTTTTCCATTGGTTTCAAGGCATTTGGAACGAATATACAGTAATAAGAATTTCATTTTCCTTTCAAGAAAATGGAACCAAGATTATTTTGGGATGTGTTAATGCTACATTTAACAGAACTTCTTTAGTTTTCTTTCTGTCGACTCAGCCTTAAATCCACGTTACAGTTTTCATGTTAGAATTAAATTAATAATAAATATCAGTCAGTATTGAGTAGGCTTAAAAAATTTAAAATACTTGTTTGGTTAGGCCTCGAGGAACATTTCACGCAATGTAAATCAACATAAGAAGTGGTACACTTTAAAATATGTCGAGCTATTGATATAATTTGATGGTAATTACCAGTTTCTCCAAATGGAGGAGACTTCCACTGTTTTTAAAGTAGTAAAGTTAAACTATTGCCTTAGTTTTTCCTATCGTTGTTGATACAGCTACATGGATACTTACTGACTACCATATCTGTTGATGGATGACCAGAGAAACTCTACTTCATTGATTTCGAGTATGGATCATACAGTTACAGAGGTTTTGACATTGGAAATCACTTCAATGAATATGCTGGCTATGACTGTGATTACAGCTTGTGCGTCTTACTACTCTCTTTTTGGTGGTTCTGGGATTTTGTAGAATTTTTGTAGTGATCATCAATTTTAATCTGCTTTTTCAGGTATCCAAACAAGGGTGAGCAATATCATTTCTTCAGACACTATTTAGATCCTGAAAGGCCAGATGAGGTACTTTGTTGTCACAGTCTTTTTGAACTTGTACTAGTAATCTTCTCTTTACGTTAGCATTAGATAGTTACTCCTTTTAGTTTGTAAAAATGGCTCTTTAGAATTGGCAAATGAAGGTAACAAGTTGGTCTGTACTGTGTTGAAAACGGACTTTTTGTTCTAAATTGTTGAACCAAATATTTTTAATTTGTATCCATTTAAACTTTATGATGGTGATGGCTGCCAATGGTCTGGTTGTTCGTTTTGCCTGATCACACACATCTGCTGACTCTACTTTGTAGTTCTGGTTGAATGGGTTCATGGTAACTTGATATGGCTTTGGTAAACAATAGGCGCTGGTTGTCTAGAAGTAGCTTTCATCCTCTGTATTACGACAGTAGTAGTACAAAATGTAACTTCATCATAAAATGTGCTGAAACCGCGTATAACATTGTATCTAAGGTTACTGTCTTCTGCATTGGGTGAATGAATCATCTAATGTGTTCTTACCTGTAAATCTTTGTATTTCCTCCTATTTTACCAGACTGATTCAGCAATTGGATATCTTTGACCATATAATTTTGTAACGCTGATTTTATTAGGACTTGAAAGAATGCAGTAACTTTCAATTAAGTTTCTTGTCTGAACAGGTCTCTGAGCAAGATATGGAAGCTCTCTATGTTGAGACTAATATGTATATGTTAGCCTCGCACTTATATTGGGCATTATGGGCTTTAATCCAGGTACTCTTGCTTACAGTAATTGCTATTTGATGTTCTTACAGAGAGATTGAAGATAGAAATTAAAAATCAGATCAATCAAGGAATATGTTTTGTTTTTCGACATATATAGGGCAGCTGCTTATCTGGCATCCTTTTCTGTTTTATAACTTAAAAATGGAGGAATTTGTGTTTGATTATCACAATTTTCTGCAGGCAAAGATGTCTCCTATAGATTTTGACTATCTAGGTTACTTTTTCCTACGGTACAATGAGTACAAAAAGCAGAAGGAAACAAATATCTCATTGGGGAAATCGTACTTGTCAAGATCTCTCAAGGGATGAAATGCCCAGTTTATCTGTCAATGTTTGTTCTTTGAAGCAACACCCTTTCTGAAATCTTTTCTTTTCTTTCTTTGGTTGTGGTTAGCATTGTATACATATTCTTTATATACATTATTAGAGAGACGAATGGTCAGTGATAGGCTGAAAGTTCGAAAATTTTCTTTGTTGTTGTAATGATTATTGTAGAACGACTGTATACTTTGTAGTCTTGGGGTTGTTCTCTACAGAAATGCAAAGTGATAGCTGTTTTTGCTTTGTGCTATTGTGTGTGGTCTTATGCTGTTTGTGTATATTTAATTGTTTTGATAAACACTAAAACAGAATATCGTGATGACTTGCTATGTTCCGATCACTGTGTGTCTTTGCCTCCATCCGGTCTGTTCCAAAAATTCCAACCATTCCCAAAATCTGATGTATTTGGTCCTATGTTTGCATCTAGCAACAAATGCAGTGATTGATTGAAGATCTTTGTGAATGATTCTATCCCATGTCCTGAACTTCTTTGACAGTCTGTTTACCCCTATGTTTTTTCCATTTTGGAGTGGATCCCTGAATCAAGTTCCACCTTGTATTTGAATGTTCTCTTCTTATCAAGTAGCATTTTTTGTTTCTGGAAAATTAGATCATCGTAACTTAGCAGGTTTTTGTAAGAAGTCTTCCTCTGGCCAGCAACATTAGTGATAATAGGAAAATACTGAATGTCATTGGGTTTTGGCTTGTTCAACAACATTAATTGAGAGGGAAAAGTAAAAACCTAATCAACAAAGCACTGTATTCTACCACATAAGATGACTTTTAACAAACAAGACAACAAATGGTGAATTAGGTATCAGCTACTGAAACAACAAGATGATTTTCTGTTTATCGTAGTAATTAACGGGGTGACATAAATGCTAGCTAAACGGCGGCCATGGAACGGAAAAGCTCGTATGCCGCGGTGTTTCAACTCCTCGACATCAGATTCTATAGGCTGGATACGCTCCAGGACGGCTTTGGCTGTCTGTACAAATGCAGCCTCAACATTTTGCCCTGTTCTAGCAGAGCACTCCAGGAACATCAACCCGTGATCCCCGGCGAGTCGGGAGCCTTCTTCAGTGGTCACCTCCCTTTTGTGAGGATCCAAATCAGATTTGTTGCCGACGAGCATGATATTTGTGTCAGGGTGGACGTGTTGCCTGACTTCTTTCAACCAAAAAACAACATTATCGAATGTTTCCCTCCTGGAGATGTCGTAAACCAGAAGCGCCCCGGAAACTGCCCTGTAGTAACTCCTTGTGATTGACCTAAACCTTTCTTGACCTGAGGTATCCCAGATGTGGAGTTTAACTTTTTTGCGGTTTATAGTGATTGTTCTACAGAAAAAACCGGCACCGATGGTGGGATCATGACCGCCTGGGAAAATTCGATCCGTGAACCGGTAACTCAAGCATGATTTACCAACCGCAGAATCTCCCACTGTTATGAACTTGAATATGTAATCACACGACATGATGATGATTGATGAGTGGGGGAAAAAAAAAAAGAAAGAGAGAGATCTGTTTCCTTCAGAAAAGCCAACGTTGATTTGTTGAAAGTAGGCTTTACTACTACTCCAGTACTAGCGCATATCAATGCTGCAAATCCCAAAGATACAAGTTATGGTGTATTTATAAGAGAAGAAAGAAAACTGAATATGATTCGGATTCGGTTCATGATGCAGAGGGATTAATCTTCAGCGAAGAAGAAGATTAATCTTTAATGTAAAAATAATTTTCAAAGGTTTCTTATTGTTTTTTCCTCAAACAATAAGAAGTTTTTGTCACAAAAATTTAACCTCAAGTCGAGCAAGTTTTTGATTCAATCCCAAAAGTGTAACGAGATTCCTGTGTTGGAGTTTTGCAATAAGGAGGGTAGATTCATTCCTGAATTCCTCTATCCCTTGTCCTGAAACTTCTTGAATCTTGACAATCTTTCTACCCATCTTGGAGTTGACCCTGAATCAGGTTCCACCTCACAAGTACTAAACTTGCAGAAGCCAGAAAGTAATGTACAATTGACATCTCTTCTTACCAAGTAATGTAAAAACAGACAATTAACAGAATTTGGAAAAAAGTTCTTAGTTGCCTCATTGTCCCGAATAATCAATTTTACTAATTCTAAAGCAGAATTAAAGAAGATGATTCTACTAACTACCACCTTAGAAAGACTTTTTATAACAAAGAAAAAGAACAAAAAAGTGAATTTAGGCATCATCAGCTACTGTAACAACAAGATAATCCTCCGTTAATCGGGTCGTCTATGTGGTCGATGTCGCCGTAATTGACATCTGAACGCCGATTGGACTCGAAAACTTTCACCCCTCGACGCTTCAACTCCTCTTCGTGAGATTCAATAGGCCGGATACTCTCCAGGACGGCTTCTGCCGTCTTAACATAAGCAGACTCGACATTTTCCCCAGTTCTAGCAGAGCACTCCTGGAACATCAACCCGTAATCCATGGCGAGCCGGGCGCCTTCTTCGGCGCTTACTTCCCTTCTTACAGAACCCAAATCGGATTTGTTTCCGAGGAGCATGATCTTGGTATGGGGATGGACATATTGCCTGAGGTCTTCCAACCATGAAACAACATGAACAAAGGTTTCCCTCCTGGAGACATCGTAAACCAGGAGGGCTCCTGCGGCTTCCCTGAAGTAACTCCTGGTGATTGATCTGAAGTTTTCTTGACCGGCGGTATCCCAGATTTGGAGTTTAACTGCCTTCCGGCCAATAGGGATGGTTCTACAGCCAAAATCGACGCCAATGGTCGTCTCATGGCCGCCTCCGGGGAAACCTCCGTTGATGAACTTATAAGTCAGACATGTTTTACCAACTGCCGAATCTCCCAGGGTTACGAACTTGAAGGAGCAATCGCAAGACATCTGATTTACCAACTGCCGAATCTCCCAGGGTTACGAACTTGAAGGAGCAATCGCAAGACATTATTATATATGATGATGAGCTGAAAAAAAGAGATTATAATTAGTTTTCTTCACCCTAAAGAAAAAAAAAACAAAACTAATGTTGATTTTTTGTTAAACTTAGGCTTATGATTTGTGGGGGTGTATTTATGATTAAGAACAACAGTGACGGAACTAGAACTTTTAAGTTGGAGGGTTGAAAGGAAAAAGTAATTCTCACTTGTCAAAAAAGATTAATTCTTACATGCGCTAGAAGAAAAATAATAACATAAAAAATAAAGTTCATTGACAAAGTCATCTCAAGTGGCTTATTTTTTCTTTGTACTTACTAGTGATGGTATAATTATTTTTTTCCTCCCAACTGATATATTACAAAGATGAGAACGAGTGGTGGCAGGTATTGTAATCTTCGAGGTCTCATGTCTTGAAACCGCTACATAATTGCTTCATTATCAACACTTGCAAAAATTTATTTCTCAATATAGCACACCAACAAATCAGTAAGAAAATCATTACCCATCTTATTGCGTAAATCAGTCTTAATAAACTTCATTGCGGAGAAAGACCTTTCGACAGTAACTGTTGCAACAGGCAAAACCAAAGCCAACTCGAGAAGACAATATACTGAAGCATACATAGTGTGATATCCCTTTACAACCATCTTCTTTGCAAGTTCTCCGATGTCATGAAGTCCATAAAAAGCTTCATTCTTTCTCACATTCTCAATGTACCGGTTCAACTGTGTTCTTAAAAGATTTAAATCAGAACCAACAAAATCTTCAGGATATAACTCCGCAAGACGTACTAACCTTTCACTATTAAATTTGCTAAATGAATCCTTAAGATCAAGGCATGCTATATACATAAGCAACTCTGAGTTTGTCTTTGTAAATCGGTCATTCATTTCATTGAAAAGAAGATCAATAACCTAGCATTATAAGAAATATATATAATTAATACTTCATAACATGAAAAACAAATGTTACATATTGTTAATTTCAATAATGAAAAATAACATACCTGATAAAAAATATCTGCCTGATAACGATGGTGGTAAGTCTGTGGCTCATCATTAACTGTTCTCCTAACTCGGCCTGGAATGATATCTTCCATATTAGATATACCAATCTCATTTTTTGAACAAAATATGATGACTTTTTTCAATAAATTCTAGAATAGAATAATAGAAAATTGAATAAATAAAAGAAAATAAAAAAGCTTACTTAAGTTTATTAGCCATCAAAACTTCAGAGAAAGATACGAAGTCTGATTAGATCTTCAATTTTTGATCAAGTTTGCAAAAAGCTTAAGCGTCGTAAGAGCTTCTGAGTTCTGAAGTTCGTTGTCCTTTTCTTCTTTTTACAAATAAATTTTTGTTTAATTAAATTTGGGAGGCACTGATGTCTCGTTTTCTTCTTCTTTTGTTTAATAAAATATTACTTTAGTTTAAAAGCCAAAATTGAAAACAAAAAGACCTTTTAAGTGAAACCTGACTTAAAAAAAAATATTTGGGCCACAATTGACTTTATTATTTCATATTTGTATTGGAAAAGAAGCCCAATGTCATCTTCTTCTTCAAGAATTCACCAAACGTAGACTCTTGCAGCGGCAGCCGGGGATTCAGCTGGAAAAAATGAAGGCCACCGAATATCCCCTATTAAGGGAAAATTATGCCGGCCGGGGGGGTTGATCGACCCCTTGACCCCCTTAAATCCGTCACGGAAGAAGAATATATAATAGAAGAAAAAAAAAAGAAACTGAATAGGGTTTGGATTTCGTTGCATTTGGAGGTGTTATTGAGAGAAAAAGAGTTAAGCTTATACTATAAAAGAAGATTACAATTTATTTATTTATTTATTTTTGGGTTAATAGATAGGAGTACAATTTAAAAGCGCGACAGTGATTTTCTTTTCTTATTTTATTTTTTTTTTACCCCGGTTTGAAGACGAGGATTTTAAGACTTGTTAACTAAGTTTCCCAATAGTACGAAACCGACATGAAGACGAGACGAAAACTAATACGGACTTACACGTAATCACGTATCAATAAGTATATCTTGTAAAAACAATGTACTATTTCTGAGACAGAAAATTTCTAACTTTGGCCAACAAAAACACCAATTGTTATTTGACCTCTTTTCTTAGTCGGTGAAGATAGACACAAGTATAGGGGAGTAGACTGTAAGAGTGGATAGCATCATCATCACCCAAGCAATAAAAGGGTTAATTTAAGTTACTGATGGGCTCTGGAAAACTTAATACAAATTTTTGGCAGAAAGTCTCCATGGAATGGCAAAGACAAACCGTGAGGCTGTCTGTAAGTTTGTGAGTGTAAAACTGTTAATGAATATCAATTGGGTGGTGTGCACATTTTGTCATCACCCCCAGCTAAAATACTAGATAAGCTACATTTTGACATATCAACTCACCCTCGTAGAGTTGAAGTGTAACCTGAGCTTTAAAGCTTCCCCTATATTAAAATAAAAATAAATAAAAAAAAAAATCAATTGGGTTCTTAGTCATCAGCCTTTTTGCCACAAGATTACGTTCCCCACTACAGAATCCATTTATCTTTTGACAGATGAAGTTCTGCATTTCATAAACATATAACCAGCCAAATTTAACTGATGAAGATTTAGCTAAACAACATTCGACGAGTAATGGTATTCATCTAGATTACATTATTAGTAAGACAGTACCAGATGAATCTGTTCAAACACCAGTAACAAAATCACATTCTTCATCTCCCAAAATGATTGTTATGTTTGTTGAACCGAAAATAATTCAAACACAGCACAATCATTTCGGTCTTTTCTGCTGCAAAAGCCACAAATCAAGTCTACTTCAGAAAGGCAACATTTTCCTGAGAATATCATCAACTTAAGTTCAGATATGTACAACAGAACATCAAAAACAGGAAACAGTTCTGGTAAGAGGTGCTTAAATATATTGAACTTTGTATTACAGAGTCCTACATGCCTACACCCAATAAGTCACACCACCATGGTCACCTATCTAGCACAACCTAGGGAAAACCGAACCTATAATGAAAAGCTTTTTGTATGGAGTACTGTCGATTGCTGAAGCAATAGGACAAAATTTATGCAACGCTGCTTATCAATTGTGATTCGAGCATTTCAAGCTTGAAGAACCAGGCAGTGAAGAACATTGCTTTTGATGCGATTCCGACCAGCAAGGTTTGACAAGAAATTTGTAACCATAGTCTTGAACTGCCCTTTGCCAGAAAGAGTTTCCCACAAGTGTTCTGATGGGGCTCCACTCATACTACCATCAGATTTGGTAACATCAACTAGAGAAATGCTCATGTTGTTCCGTATAATGCACAATTTTCCATTAAGAGGGAGGAGTGCTGCGGCTTCCAAAGCCTTTGAACTACCCAAGTGCATCTTACTATCGATGTGCTTGCTCCAAGAATCAGTCGCTTCATCATACACCTTTAGCTTGCAGCCATCCTTGCACTCCAGTGCATAGAGATGTCCATTCATTGAAGTACACGGGTTCCTCCATCCAGCAACCAGACCGTCATACACAGGATGCCAACTATCGGTTTCAGGTTTGTAGAACTCACTCAGAACCTGTCGGTGAGCTCCCACACCCTTTAAGAACCACTTTCCTTCATAGACAACTCCAATTAGGGGAACCATTTCTGTACTCATATCAGAAATAAAGGACCATCTATTCTTGTTTGGATCATAAACTTCAGCCGATCTCAACGACCTATGAATCCCTTCATTTTCTCCACCAGCTACATACACACAATTATTTATGACACAAGAACCAAAAAAATGTCGCCTCCGGAGCATATCTGGAGCTCGGTGCCATTTATTAGTCCGCGCACTGTAAAATATAACTCTTCTCATAGACCCCTTGACAGGGTCTTTACCACCAAAAAGATAGAGATGACAACCACTCAGTACAACGCAACCAAACCCAAGGGCTTCTGAATATTCTTTTGGAACAGGAGGGAGAGGTTGCCACAATTGATACATGGGATCAAAGGCATGCCATGATAATTTACCATCTCGATCTCTCTTCATGATGTATATCCACTCCTCAGCAATCCCTAAATTTTTCCGAAGAGAATAAAAGAAATTACCTGCCAATAGCCTATACCATCTTTTGCAAACCAGTCGTAGCTTGCGATGTTCAATCCTGGGGACGCGGATTAAGCATGCAATGGCAAGATCATCTGGCAGTCCAGGCAACAACGGGGATTGGCTCCGATTTCTATCTCGTGGAGGTTTTTGTCTTGTAGGATGAATGGAAGGTTTGATGTCAGGCTGAAGACAGAGCTTTGACCGAGGAACATATTTTTTAGCTCCTGCAACAGTTTTGAGGCCTGCATCTACTCTACACAAACAAGCGGTTGAATCAACCTGCAAACATATAACTATAAATTAATCGGAGTATTCAACTATTCTCTATGCATCAATTATAATACAAAGAATCTCTTGGGCATAACTTTAGACCTAATTCAAATACAAGACATAATGTAAGAAATGCACGCAGAATCTTCCCAAATGAAACACTAGTAGGCACTAAGCAGGCAATATTTTTCAAATCTATGGCATAACAGTGACACTTGCAGTACTCAATCACCTCTTTTCCCCAGAGAATGTCAGCCAACAAGAGAGTGCGTTTGATGCACTAATCAATATTACTGATAAAAGGAAGGGCTATATTCAGATATTAAGCATGCTTGTTATTAATTAACAGGTTTGCAAGCCTAAAATAAAAATTCAGAAGTTTGAGTTGCAAGGAGGTAAACCCTGCTCTACAAATCAGAACAAGACCAAAACTCAGCAAATATGGGCAAGATAACATATGTCAAACAATATAGGCAAAGTACTTTCTTGAAAAGAATGTTCAGGTTTACTGGCTACTGAAGCATAACTGCATAACCTAACAACCAAAAGAACCTAACATCTGCTAAGAAATCATCCAGTTACGCAATATAAACCAAAAAGTTACCAGGGGAGGCTGTATGACTCTGTCCGTTCTCGACTGCATGTCAACCAATAGTTCCTAACATTAGAAGTTCATCAGCAAATGACAGCTCTACTGTCTTCCAACTGCAAAAGCACCAAAATAGGAGAACCATAAATCATTGCTGCTCAGCTTAATAAATCAATTCTTCAAATTAAAGAGAACCTCCAAGAAGAAAATTGACTAAAATGGAATTGCAACAGTTCAAACAAAATGCAAATTACAGGGAAGGGCTCACCTTTTTAAAAGATCTCTGATCCCAGAAAGTAAAAAAAGCTGAAGTGATTAAGACCCTCTTCTTAAATCACTACAGACCAGCCAAAAGAAACAACAATGTACCAGAATTGCCAAGTCAAGACGGTCGACCAAGTCAAAATTAAGAAACTGACGAGAGGCTTGAAACAAAAACACCATCAATCACCGATCCTCTCAAACTTCAAAATCCAGTCTACAAAAACAAAAAACCCAGATGGGCAACAAAAAAATCACACATTGCAGAAACCATATTCAACAAATTGGAAAAAAAGAATCAGAATAAAAGTCCAATCTTTGAAAAGAGCCCTAAAACCCCAAATGCGAGACAGCAAGAGGAAAAAAAAGCACCCAAAGAAAGAAAGAAAGAAGAGGCAAATAGATAAAGACTCTCACCATTGATAGAATTAAGTGGAGAATTGGGCCCATAAACTCCAAATTGCACAAACCTACCAAAGCTCAAGAGTGTGTGTACAACAACAAGAAAACAGCCCCAGAGAAGCAAAAGAAAACCCCAAAACCATGAATGACGGGTCAATAACCTGTTCTATCAATCTGAGTTAAAGATTTCTGTTTGACATTACTCTTTCCTTAGTTCTGGAGAAAAGAAGAAAAATTGAAATGAAATGGAGGAAAGAAGGCCTTTTTGCCCTTTTTATGATTGATGAAAAAACAGGGTTCAAATTGATGTCTGCTTTGTGGAATGAATGAATATGCTACACAATTGCATTAATTTCTTTTGTAACCGTAGTCAAAATAAAAGAATTTTAAAAAGCAAAAAGTTGATGAAGTAACTCATAGTCAGCAGTCAGCACACTAGAGTTTACTTTTTATTAAATACGGCAGTTCATCTGTCCATCCAATTAAGACAGCTCACTTGCAAAATCTACATGTAATCTCAAATATTAGACAATATTTGAAAAAAATAAGGAAAAAATCTATATACACTGGTATTTTATGACTAATAATTAACTAGTAGAACCAAAATAATATTGTAGTAAAATTTCACGAACACATTAAATTATTGAGTTTTACTCCACAGCCACTAATTTTTGTGGTTAAATTCTCTCGTATTTGGACGTAATAACAAAGATTATCCAATGTAATTTTTTTTTAAAAAAAAAATCCACGATTGAAAATATCGTGAAATTTCATCACTTTCACTCTAAGATGGCATAGCATTGTGAAATGGTCATGCTCTATTCTTGAGCTAATCAGATTTATAGATGTCGACCAAATATCTTGATAAAGTTAAACTCTTGAGAAGCTTTTGGTTCAACCCTATGTAATAATAGCAATATAATTATAGGCATTTGTAAAAATGATTTGTATAATAACAATATAATCATTGGTTTTGGTCATTTGTAAAATTATTTGTATGTGTTATTATGAGTCGGACTGGCATTGACCATGAAGGGCCGAAGAGTTGCGTAATTTTGAAATATTTCTTATTTACGATATTTTCAGATAATAACTCTGGAGTGAAAGAGTAATTAATTTAATATTTTAAAAGTAAAAAAAAAAAAAAAAAGAAAGCAAAAAGTCTAGAAGTGGAAGTATCGACAAAGATTCAACTTGAAGAATTTGGAGGTGTGCCCGCCCACCATGCTTCACAATTCCTCAGATCCAACAAAATGTACCCTTCAACTAAAGTAGGAAGAAATTTTCAAATGTGCGTGGAGCCAACTTACATTATACTCAACACATTTTCACTGCGTTTTAATGCATTGCTTTATTGAGTTTATTCCCACCAAAAGTTGGTAGTTTGGTCATCAAGAAATCTGGGCTCCAACTCCAATCTTCCAACCATCTCATCTTCATAATGTAAATCATTTTTTTTTAACCTTTTCTATCATTTAGAAAATCAATTACCATGAGATTAAATTCATATCCACATTATATTTTGGTGTTGAATTGATCAGAATATTGTAGATTGTTTTACACAGTTAGTCTTTAAGAACGATCAATTACTTAACAAGTTTGAATCTTATGAGTAATTGACTAATTGTGAATAAGTTAGAATGATGAGTATTTTTAGCACTTTTGACATAAGAAGAACGTAAGTGTAAGACTGGAAATTAAAGAGCTAAAGATTAAAGTAAGAGACTGTTAAATGCAGAATCTTTCCCCTAACTAGGGTTCACTCATTCTCCATGTATATCATCCACGTTCATGCCGTGCTTAAGGGATTAGACGAATTGTTATCTCTCCAAGTATTTTTGTTAATCTTATAAATTTATTGAATTTTTTTTTTTTGACTTATAATAATTTCATCCAACATTTTTAATTTGTTGCTCGATCACGCGCGGGAGTTTAGAAAATATAGGCTTATTGACTAGGTGTATGTTTGTTTCGTTTTTTTAATACGTGTTTTTTAGATGTTTTTTTATTGAGAATATAAAATGGTGTATTGAAAATGTAAAAAAGTATGTTGGGATGGAACATTTATTATTTTAATATTATAAAAAAACTATCCAAAAAACAAAACAAACAAAAAACTAAGAGGCTGGGAAGATATGTTTAATGTATTATATTTGATCATATACGACGGTCTTATAAAGTAGTTTCCTAGATTCTGAAAATTTGCAGTGTGAAATTAGGTCTAAATATTTTTTTTTAGAAAATAAATAGACTATCTATATAAATTACAATTTTGTAAACTAGACTATCTATACAACTTTCTTGCTCTTCTCCACAAAAAAAAAAAAATAATAATAAAATAAAATAAAATAAAAATTCTTGCTCTTCTCCATCACTTGTCATGAGATTGGGCTCAAAAATAAAATATTGCAGTTTGTGAATGATATTATTTTTAGTACAATTCACACATTAATAGGAGGGAGTAATATAATTTGAAAACAAATTAAAGGAAAAACTTATTCGTGATTTTATGAAGAAGTGTGTTAAGTTGGTCCCATAACTCCTTCCGTGTTGGATTCGTGAGATGGCAAAGTTGATCGTCATACCTAATTTCCTTAATCATTATAGTCTTACTTCAGAGGGACCTCCCTTCATGCATCTTTTAAGTACTACGCTTTCATTTTTTTTTTCCCTATTGTTTTTGGATGATTTTTGAAGTAAATAATAATAATAATAATAATAATAATAATAATAATAATAATAATAATAAGAAGAAGAAGAAGAAGAAGAAGAAGAAGAAGAAGAAGAAGGAGGAGGGGAAAAATGTTTAAAGGGGCATTTGTTTTCATTTTTAAAAAGGCCAAAAAATGATGTCTGTTGTATGCCTTTGTCTCCTTTGATAACTGCCACACATATGATTGTTTTCCAGCAACAGTCTGTGATGAAGACCAGCAGAATGTTTTTAAACATAACGTGAAAGATACTTCAATTCTCCAGAAACTTTGGTATTCTTTTTCTTAATTAAATTTTATTTGCTAATAAAGTTTTTACTTGTTTTTAAATATTTCAAAATAAGTATTCTGCGTGTTCTAAAATAATCATTTTTGGAGTAGAGTGAACTAGTATGATGACTCGGTTAAGTAAATATTATTGTATTTTGCGTTCGGAGAAATGGACAACTAAGTGGAACTACGGCCAATGACATATTATTTCATAAACCAAGTTAGACCGACTCACAAAATTAGATGTTCCGTTAATATTATAAAATGTATAATCAATAAAAAAAATAATTGAAGTATATAAAAGATAATAAGGAGATATGATTTCTTAAAAAACCAAGTTACGTAAACTCCAAAATGTGTATAATCAAATCAACTTTTTAAATTTGTCTCTTAATCATTTGTTGGCATCTAACTCTAGCTTTTTCTTTAATGTCATCTTCCACAAAAACAGTCTAAAAACATCACTTCAAACTCTTTATCTTTTGATGACTAACTCACTCAATTTGTTGTTTTTTTTTTTTTTTTCAGAAATCAAATGTTTAATCTTGTTAATTCTTTTTTGTTCTTTAACCTTGTCCCCTAATGATCAGAATCGAGCCCTAAATTACAATACTGCAGTTTGTAGAGAACAGTCCTTGTAGTCAAAACAAATCAATCACACTGATCTCTCTTCCTCTGTAGCAATGATTTATGGGTTATAGAGAGAACTCAATCCAATAGTAATTGCAGTCTCCCAAATTTCTACATTGTGTGACAGAATGATCTCTTGATTTTACAAAAGTACAAATCTAATCCTCAACTTTAAAGTTTTAAAAAATACAAGTTCTTTTGAGTTTAAAACTGAATTGTGAATAAACAAACCTGTGTGTGCAAGTTAATGTTTGTGTGTGTGTGCGTGTTTTTTTTTTTTTGTGCAACAATCGTATTAAAAATTCACCTTCAACCCGCGAAAGCAATTAAGCTAATGTATATTGTTTTCCAATACACTAAACATGAAGGTTCCAGATCAAAGGCACCCTCTAATCAATCAATCTAACTTCAATTAAATTGAGGGGAAAGAAATTGAAGGTTTTAAACCTGTAACAGTACCCCTTCGGGGGGGAAAAAGAAAAGAAAGGAAGAAAAGGTTCCGTCACCATGGCATCGAAGAGTGCACGGCTGCGTTTATTAGTAATCCAAAGGATCCGACGACTTGAATTTGTGGACAAAACACATTCTCTGCCAATCTTCAAACATGATGCCGAACTACACACTCTAGTTATTGGTTGAGCAGATGACTTGCCAAAATTTTGATCTTGTTTCTTCAAATGCAACTTCGACACTATACCATTGACTTTATCAATTATGGTAGAACCCAGACTGCCACCTCCAGAACGATATGTATGGAGGAAGGTACCATTATTTGTCGTGGTCGAACCAAAACCACGGCGGCCTCCCACAAAACGATATACATGTCCGGGTGGAAAATCAGGGGTGACTTGGTGCTTCAACACAGTTGTTATTATGTCTTGCTTATTCACCATCCAATGTTAGTAATATTCCTCATGTGAGATGCCCTATGATAATCATCAGGTTGTCCACTTTTCTGTGTTGGATTTGTTGACCATAATATTATTCCTTGAGCAACCTTCCATTACACTAAAAACATCAGGGCTGCGTCTTTTTACCTCTCATCCCAGAGTGAAGGCTCTGCATCAAACCCTGCGTCTTTCAAGAGCCAAGAGATTTCTCTTACCATGTCAAGCTCCGCATGAAACCCAAACTCCTTCAGCGGTACCTCATTAATTACCTGTAAGTAGGCCACGATTTTATCGCCCACCCTGTCGAAGATTTCAAGCAGCAATAGTATTGCTTCCATCTCCATCTCCTTCTTTTAGGCCTCAGCCGTCATCAACTTGTCACTGTCAACATAAGTGGACCTTCGGATGAATATTTTCAGAGCTGCAATCTCTTTCGAGACAAAATCCCGTATTTCATAGCAACCCTCAAAACCACAAGGCCTTAGCCTGTCGCGCGCTAACGTCAATAAGTCAATTCAATCAACTTTCGCTCTTTCACGTACTTGAAGAATTCTTGTCCGATTTCAACAGTCCTCGAAGCCAGCATTCTAACAACTTCAGTTTCCCTTTCTGTAACATGGAGTACAAAGACGAAAAATTCCACTTGTACACAAGCCGCTCCGGTTCATTTGGACTAGGTTCCGATATCCATGATATCAGACGTGGGATTTCCCGCGCGGGAGATAATTCCCTGGACAGACTAATTTGCAAACATTGAAGGGCCAAATTCAGGGGCAGGATTCCTTCCTTTGAAGCCACCAACATCAATCCTGATTCCTGAGGTTGATTTGAGCCTCATTCTCAGCGAGACACAAGTTGGCTATCTTACAGGCTCCATATGCAGCTGCCTTATGCAATATAGGAACTAGTTGCTGATTTTCCCGGATGAATGGAATCGCATTGATGACATCATTGACTCCCAAGATTTCCAATAAAATATCCAGTGGGTTCTTCTCCATCCAGAACAGCTTTCAAGCAATTTACAGAGTCATGCCCAAATATACAATCCAAGGATTAGCGCACCATCTTGACCAGGACCAGTTAGCACAACTCTAAGGTGCTTCAAGATCTTCACAAACCTATCCTTTTTATCGAGTTCGAGGGCATCCGGCAAATCATAGTCGAAATGGCTCAACGAAGCCCTGAAATCACTTTCTTCTTCCTCCTCCCTCTCGGATTCTCCATATTCGGACCCGGATTCGGGAGCGTTCACCTCCTCAGACTCCTCCTCCCCTTCCTTGACCCAAGTATTTCCAACAGAAGGTAACTTCGCGATTCTCCTTCAGGCTTCATCTCCGATGATCCCATGAACTCCATAGCGCGGCCCCTCTCCGTATTAACCTTATTTTGAAATGAACAAAACAATGTGTGTTCATCAATATAAACTGAATGCATATCCACGGTCCACCTCCTCTAATTATTAGACTAAATAGCTCGTCAAAAGGACATTTTAGGACAAATCATTTTTTCCCTTATTGTATAAGTTTGTATAAATCTACGAGTTTGTGAAGTATTTAACACAATCAGGATAAACCATGCTACACTTCTGACTATTATCATATCAGTCTCTAGAGTTAGAAACGCTCAAGAGTTTGAAAACGAAACCTAAACGTTGTTTGAAGTTTTTTTGAGATTAGAAAGAGGGGCAACTGAAGAGAGCCTTCAATTGATTGATGGACCATGACAATTGCAAAATGTATTAATGTAAGAACCAAGCTCAAATGAAAACAAATTTAAGGGACCTGAAAGTACAATCACCTAATCATCTAAGAATTTTTGGGAAAAAAAAAAAATGGACCCAAACATGACCGGTACATTTCTCTAGTTTGGACAAAAGTATAAACTATAAACATCATTTCAAAGACAAGAATCAATTTTCGACTAAATTCCCTCTGTCTCTCCACATTTCAATTTTCACCTATGTCAAACTTAATCTATGAATTAGCTCATCAGAATGAAAAAGAGCTCGACTCGAATCTTCACTAGATGGAAAGCACCGGACCTAACTACAGAAAAAAGAATTGAAGACAGCAAACTGTACCAAAAATCATGATTCAATCAATACATTTCTGTGTTTCTGTGGCCCTATCACTGGCAGCCTGGCAGCCCATCAAGAGATAACTACTAACTGATGTCCGATCACTAATATCCATCCATGTAATTGACCGAAATGACTAAGTTAACTACTTCCACGATCATCTGCTTTGGATGAATGGAGAGTGAGAATGCTAATAACAAATCTCTCTTCTAATCAATGCCATCATCATCAGTCATCCCCAGGGTTCTGTCAGTGCCTCCCCAATAAAGTCAGCAATTTGTCCAACTGAATCCAAAAATATTTAATCTGTACGAAGCACATCAGGTTGCGGCTTGAATGTTCCAATAACCAAATATGGCAAGATCACCATTCCCGACATAAAGAGAGTGAACTGCACAACAAATACAAAAGTACAGGCATATCAAGAGGCATACTAGTTGGAGTTGAGAAACCATTTCCTCGGATTTCATTCCCATCTGAATTTCTTTCTGAGGGATCAAATATTTTCAGGCAATTTTCACAACTCTTACAATCAATCTTCCCCCTTCATCCCAAAACATGCATACATTGGTAACAATTCACGTTTCAAGCCTTTACATACATTAAATTGAAAAAGAACCTATGGTCAGAAAAGACAAATTTGAACTTTAAAACCAAGATGAGAAACAAGCACCTACCACAAGCGGCAGAGTCAAAAAACTCCAGATTGGCCACAATGCAAAAGTGAACCTGATTTGCAAAGAATACAAATATTCACAGTGAGTTTGTGCATTTCAAGTGAAAGTAACAGAGGGATGACAAAATAACAAAGTACAAAATTCTCTTACAAGCAGAAAGAGGTGAGCCCAAGGACAGTCAGAACTGGCAAAGCAGCAATACTTGAAATTTCCCAATTTTCATTGTTTTTCCGGACACCCCAAGCTAACATACTCATATACAAGAAAAAGAGAATATTCAAACCAACACCTAACATTCCCATGTACAACGGAATCCTGCACAACGAACATAGTGTTTTGAACAATGCCTGAAGGAGAGGGAAAAAAAAAAACAAAAAATATAAAAAAAAAATTAAAAAAAAAAAACCTTGCTTCTTATATAAGAAATTTGTCTTAATCCAATATGTGCACAACCACTTACAAATAAAATCTATGCAGAAACAATAATGTTTAGGAAAAACTAACAACGGTCTTCCTCCATATCATATGATGACAGACAAAACATTCCCAGAGAATTGACGGAGAAAGCTATATCATAAGATTGTAAAAACAATTTTTAATTAATCATATCGAAGATGTCATAGGAGACAGTCTGTAAAACTTATGAATGACCATGACCAGATAAGAGGATCCAACACACAAAATTACCAGTCAACTCTTCCATTTAGACTAACATACAGCAAAGAATACATGAAAGTTCGAGATACCAAATTTGTCATCTACCAATTCAGTTGTTGGGAACAGGGATTGAAAGGGGCTGGAAGGAGAGAGTTTGAGTGAAAAAATTATTGCTCAAAAGAAAGGTGTGAGGGTTACGGCACTCCCAAGAAATGGAAGGTTTCTAATAGTAAGTAGATCAAAATCCAACAACCTAAAAGGCATTAATAAACCAGTTGCGTTGAACATTTACAATTGGTGGATGAAGAGCTGTATGATCTCAAAGAAAATCTTCGAACTAACAACTTTGTAGTCGACATTGAAACAAGCAACTGCTCTCAAGGTAACTAATCCAGAAGTAACTGAAGGAAGAAGTGCTAGCTAAATTTTACATAGCAGCAAATAGGGAAAGCTAATCCCAAACCATGCAACTTAAAAAATACCAATCAAGTAGCTTTTTAACTTCAGCTCTAAGTTGAAGTAACGCATACCCAAAAAGGACACTAAGAACAAATGAACAGGGCACAGATCATCAAGACCTCAACCTATCAGATTAAAGAAGTTGTCATAAAACTTTGATCACAGAACCTGCGAAGCAGATGATTGGAATACTTCAATCCTACACTGCAATCAAATGTCTTTTCTGGGCTTGTTCTCCTCATTTAATCCATTTCTAAGTAGATTGGTATTACCCAGTTTGGAATTTCAGATGTTAAGGAAATAAAAGCCAAGTTTGGCAAAGCACATTGTTTCCCACTAGCCATTCTCCTAGAACACATTTTGTATCATCTCAACCATTCATCACGAAATTTCAAAACAAGTTGCAAACAACTGTCAAAAAGATGTGGAAGTCCGCAATTACAAATACGTCTAAAAGTAATCAATTCTCTTTTACCATCCATGGTAAACAGCAAGAGCAAATGAAGTGCAAAATAATCAGACACTAAAATATAAATGGACTTTCTGTGATTACCTTCTAATGCGTTCGTCATGCCACAAGAGGAATATAAAATTGGAGTGCCTGTCACCATAATAGATTATAAAAACTGCAGATGCAATCCAAAGAAAATTCTCCACGACTTCAACCCAAGTCCGAGGTTTAGGAGATGTAGAGGTGGAAAAAACTGCTCTTGAACATGCATCATCCTCGAGATCATCACTACTTGACGCATAGCCTTGACTATGCCTTTGCCTCATGTATCCACCACCCGCAACAGGGGTTCCACCAGACATGCTGCCAAATTTGGCGAATAATCACAAATTTCTTCCTCAAATTCCACTCCTAAGGTTCAATTCAATTCAGTAATTAATCAGGGCACTCCCTGGGCTAGTTATAGACAACTCAATAGCAGAAAACAGCAGGCAGTAACAATGCCAATATAACAGTCTCTGCCTCTGTACACGAACCTAAAATTCCCCACTAAGCAGAGAAATCTCAGGACTAAAGAATGATTAAGAAATCATCTCAAATCCAAAACCCATATGCCCATCAACCCACGATGTGATAATCTACGCACCAAGGGGCCAATTTCCAACTCCGAAACACACAAAATTTTGACAGGCCTCTCAAAGGAATCAATCTTCTCACAGAGCCCACCTCATGAATCGCCAAAATATCCAAGAATCAAAGAGAAAAAGGAGAATCATTTCTCAATGAAAACCATCTCAGGCCTCCAAACTCCACACCAACTTCCCCCAAAACTCAACTAAAACAGTTCAATCCCGGGAAATTGAAAACTTGGGAATTCTCGAAGAAAACAAAGAGGCAGAATGTTTTGGCTTTCCCGAATCTCACTTGGAAGAATTTATAACAACAATCAATGCCGCAATAAAAGGGGAGAAATTTTAAAAAAAAAACAATAAACAAAGTTGAAGACAAACAAGCAGGCGTTTTGCGCTATAAATGAATGGGGGAAGGTGAAGAAGGCAAAGAAAGAAAGGGTTTTGGGACACTGTGGAGGGCTGGGGCTAACAGTGTAAATAATTTTGCTCAATAAATCTCTAATCTTTAAGTTTTGGGATTAAATCATAAATTCTGTGATTGATGCGTAAGCGCGTGGTTTGGCGTGCAATTTGGAGATTGGTGGCAGCCCATGACACCCATATTCGTTTCTTCTTGGACTGAAAGAATGTCTTCTTCCGGTGGTAACTTACGTTACTTACTGTTAGGTATGATCCTCTTTTTCTATTGATAACTTTATCCTCTCAGATGCGTATCTTTTCAACCTAATTTTTGGGGTTTTGCGATTCAATTCATTTTTTTTTTTCCAGAAGTGATTAGATAAAAACAAGTTGGCAAAAATAGTTATCGTTTTCGTTTGTGTTTATAATAAGTTGATGAAAATGGAGAAAATAGAAATCGGCACAAAGAGAAGGTGATCCAAACTAGAAATTATTACTAGCTCACAAAACAGCTTGAGATCAAGAAGAGTTGGTACTTTATTATTTTCATTTTTCTAAAATAAACTCCGCGGAAGACAATAATACCGTGACTAAATAATTCATTCGTGAATACAAAGTATTGAATTATGAATTTTTTATCCGCATAAGAATTTATTCCTCAAAATAGTGATTTAAGTTGCAATCGTCACAACTCATCTTTAAATTTTTGGACGTAACTTATTAACTTTCTTCCATTTCTTTTTTTTTAAAAAAAAAAAAAACAAAAACACAATTGCACCTACTTTTTGTGTATAAACATATTGAAATTCCATAAGATTATAGATCAATTTTATAACCTATTGTTGAAGGCCTAAATATAGGTCCACGTGTGGTTCCATCTCAAAACCAATTGATTATAAGGGGAGTAACACATGTGGTTATATATTGGTTTCAAGAATCTCCATCTATATTCTATCTTTAAGATGTTACTGCCAAAATTTTATTACTCCATTCTAAAATAGATGTTATTAGAAATTTTTATTCATACTCTTTCTGTCCCATAATTATTGTCCAGTTCGAGTTTTCATTTCTAGTTCAAATTGTACTAAAAGTGAAATATCAAACTGGACAACAATTCTGAGACAGAGAAAGTATTAAGGAACACTAAATTTTCGATACTTCAAAATAATTTAAACAAATTTTACATCTTTTTCTCCTAATGATCCTTATTTCAGAATAAGAAGAGGATATTTCATATCGAACTACACCACGTAAAATTGTGGAGTTGAGTCTGCACACCAAAACATTGTTTATTGAGGCTTTGATGTTCCACAACTACTAATGAAAGTAGTTGTCATCATATTTTGTCACCTCACCGTTAGTGGCGTAATTGCCGGTGTGCAAACGACAGCCATACCACCAAAACAAAAATACTAGTAATAAAAGTAAAATAAATTATTAAAAGTACAAAATCCTCCTACTCACTAAAAATAGTATTGATAATTAAACAGAACCGTATGATGGGAAAAAAAAAATGAATAAAGAAGAAAGAAACGAAGATGAATGACATAAAAGTCAGGGTCAGGGAGCAAAAAAAAAACAAAAGAAAAAAAACTTTTGAAAAGTGAATTTTTAAAAATTGTTATGTTCATGATTTTCGTGCTCCCAACTACATCACTATTCGCTATACTAATTTAAGCAGCACCATAGAATAGAAGGAAGTGTAGCAGAAAGGTAATGAATAAAATGATGTTCCACCAAAGCATGCCTGCCCAGTGCCCACTATTTTTGTATTTTCCACTCTAAAAAGTATGTGCGTGCGTATAACGTATTACTCTATATTCCCCCTCAATCGGTCTTCCCACGTCTCGTGTGTATAATTAAGGCTTCTGTTTGTTGCGTTTTTTATTGGTTTTTTCATATTATTTTATTATTAAATTGTTCCATCCCAATATATTTTTTAACATTTCCAATATATTCCTTCCGGTCTTAAGTATAAGTCATGATTTGTCCTCAGTTTTACTTAATACGCATATTTAGGTGACGAAAAAACATTAAAAATATTTTTTCATATTTATCATATTCTCTTGATCGTTATGAAATATTTTTAAGGTTTTTTCGTTAATTAAAAATGCGTATTAGGTTAAACCTATGATAAATCAAAATAGCTTATATTAAGGATCGGAGGGAGTACTTTTTTACATTTCAAATACAAAAAACAACTAAAAATACACATTAAAAAACAAAACAAACAGGCACTAAAAAATACAATTTCTATCTTAACTACTAAAAGGCTTCTTTCTTAGGGGCAAAAAAATAAAAAAATGATGGGGCAACGGCATGTCGTTTGTACTTATCCATCAAAGTTACTTTTCCTGGTTGACGAGGGGAAGTACCTTATTACCATGTATCTTTTCAACTTCAGTTGCTTTTGCATCAAAATGTCTACCTTGAATATAGAAGTGTAATGATAGAAGACTATTTGGTGGTTAACACAATGATTTATAAACATGTTATCAAACTGTAATCAATGACCACAACTCACTCCAATTCCAAGTTGTTCCAAATCAGTGAAAACTTCAGTTAACCAAAGCTTGATATTCATTAGAAATGTCCATGCAAACTAGAACCCAGACTCCAGTAGAAAGAGACTTTCGTAATACATATGAAGAACTATGAATAATGCCATATTACCACAACATCATAACATTTAGGAGAAATTTTCCTGGGAGAGTAATAAGCATAATTGTTAGTTGTCACGACAAAAAGGAAATGGTTTAACCAAAAAAAAAAAGGAAATGGTACAATGAGAACCCAACCCTACAGCATCAGCGAGCCCCGCCACCGGCGCAAAGGTCAACCAGATCAAATAGTGTAGCGTGTAGCGCATCCAAAGGTAAGTAGCCCAAAAACTTCCTCGTTGCAGATTCACTATTGGTCATGTCCATTTGAAATTTGTTCTCTTCTGCAAAACCATCCTCCATGACTAGCCACCAAGAAACACACCCTTGAGCATCTTCGGGGTCAACATGCGCCACCACGCTCAATATTTCACCTTGCTCCAGTTCAAATGATAAAGATAAAAAGTCCCGGCTTGCTTTTATTCCCAATGAGCGGGCTTCATCATGAAGCCACCTAATGATCTGGCTAGCAATCTGTAATAACATCCATCAAAAATCATTTTTAGCTCATGTGTGATAGGTACAAGAAACTCCGTGTACGCTTTGATACTAGTCCTACATATTTGTTCTTTTCAAGTTTGTACTTCCTTTACACGTCTGATAAAGAAGTTGCTATATCAACACCTAATTTTGGAACAGGACAGAGTAAAAACAGTGACAGAAATGAAAGCTGGAATAATGGAACTAATCACACAAACAGACTATCCAACCTGCCTAGCTTCCTCATAGAACACAAATCGAACTCTTAAAGTCTATTGTGGAACAAGTTATCTCCACATACATCACTCTATTAAAAAAACAAAAGATTCTTACCTGCTGTAAAAGGATGACAGGAAGGTCTGTCAAGTCACATTTGTATCTGTTCATAGGAGAAATAGTTTCGGATTTTCCTTTGAACAAACCAATGACATTAGGAGCGCCTTCCCCTTCCACACTAATACAATCATCTATAACCAACACCTTAGTCGATAACTGAGACTTAGAAGTCTTCATGTGAGTCAGAGCAGAAATATGAGTTTGGCTTCCGGCAAGTAAGGTAGACTGAGGAATCTCGACGCAAATAGTCCAAGATGATGTCCGAGAATGCCAACTAGGATGTGAAATCAAACGGACATATGGAATCCCATCCACCTTTCAAAACATTAAGACATACTAAGATTTTAGTTTTCAATATGGGGCTTCAAGGAGGGAAAAAAACTCTTAATATCGTTTTCGGCTTCATTCAAATAAAGTGAAGTATCAAACCATACCAGAGTTTCCAAAGCAGTAAGAACTTTGGCCGAAAAAATCCTATGAGCTAGAGACAGGTTAAAATGCCCTAGAAGATTCATGTTGTCCTTCCCTGGTTGAACATGAACATTAATCCTACCAAAAGATGCAGCTCTATTCTTGGCTTTGACAAGCACATGTTCATGGAACAAATGTTCCAAATAGATAGCGAAGTTTGTCTGAATGGAATGGGCGGATTTCTTAGGCTTTTGCTCTTCCTCATCCGATAATTCCATTGGTAAACTTTCAGTTTCCAGATTCTTGGTGCTCGCATTGCTTCCCGTTTGAATACCATCAGAAGATTGTACAAGTGAAATGGACACAGATGCCTCTTGACCTATGTTCAGCCTTAAAAAATTTTCTTGTATTCCAGTTACATTGACATTTCTCGATGAGTTAAATGCCTCACGATTCACTAAATCAAATACCTGAACCACATTGATATAATTACTGTGAGAATACAGATTAGATGCACAAATGAAAGACTAGAAATAAAAGCATCACTAGTTTTCCTGCGTGACAGAGAGGTACCTGCTCTGAGAAAATGGCTAAATGAACTTCACGTATTAGTTTGTGTGTTTTCCTCACAGAAGCGTCATCACTAACATTTTCTTCTGAGATAGCTTGTTCTTTTGATCTACTGGTGTTGGTAGCATTATAAAATGAATGTGGCCCGAGAAACTTGAAGACAAGAGAACGGCGCGAATTTGGAGGCAAGTTTACAGCTAGCATTCCAGCTGAATCACGTTCCACTCGCACAGTGGACAGAGAGGATGGGCGAAATACTGCTGCTGGATCATTTAAGGAATTATCAACCAAATCCAGGTAGAATCCTTCATTCGCAGAGGCACCAGCCACTAAGCGATGCCGTTTAACTTTCCAATTTTGCTGTAATCTATCAGCCCATCAGGACACAAAGTATTAAGGATGTAATGAAGTTTCAAAAACAAAGAAGAACAAGATTTTCACTCTTCTAATGACATGCAAGATCTTACCTAATGAGAGCACCATAAAACCTGGCTTCTCTTGTCACCTGCTTTTGCAATGCTTTAGAAGATTGCTTCAAATATTTCCCCAAATGCTGCAAATCAGGAAAATATGAAATTATGCTCCTCCCCACCAAACCAAAAAAAAAAAAAAAAAAAAAGAAGAAGAAAAAAAAGGAAAACCATCAATTCTCTAAATGCATCAATAGTTCAATTTGATCATCCATCTACAAGATGTGGTCTGCATTTGAAAATCTGTGTAACTACAATGAAACACCAAAAAAAGTCGATAGCTGTTGGAAAAGATACCTGAAAGCATTGTAGCTTAGTTGCTGTAGATACAGCAAGGTCGGACAAATGCTCATTAGGCAGCTGCTTCGGCTTGGTCATGCTAGCCACAGTTACCGCATCGTTTGCCTCGACCTGTTTGAAGTATACACACTGTTAACTACCAGCCATAATTTCAAGGTATAGTCAATCCTATTAAGTTCAATTAAACCCTTATGCTTGCTAGAATGAGCTAAACCTATCTCCATTCAAAAGCTAAGATAGCTCCATTCCACTGTAATAATATGGAGGATCTAACTCCCATGTTAGCAGGGAAGTTTTGATTTTTATATGCAACCATGGAGAAATTCTACTAATGCAGATACTCAAAGTTCACAACGAAACGTTTTCAGAGGGAGATCTCTGACAAGAATCAAACAAAATCATATTATCAAACATAAAAAGCCTTTAAAAGAAATTTTTGGTTCCAACATAAGAAAAAGAAGATAGTAAAAGGTATCAGAATCATACAGTATTGATAAGATCGATAATGACGGAGAGCTCCTGGTGAGCTAATTGCAAATTCTCGACCAAACTCTGCCACTGCCATGGCTGATTGGCACCAGTTGAGGATGTCTCCTTCTCCTTAGCAGCGTCACTGACCTTCTTCTTCTTGCTCGCCGGCTCCTGCTGCTTGTCCTCCTCTCTCTCCACCGCCCAGGCGAAGTCTATTTTCCTTATCAACTCTACTTTCTTCTCATCATGCCCTACATCTCTGCAAATTCGTTTCACTTTCATGAATCAAACATCACAGATTTGAAGGCAAATAGCTCCTAAATAAAAAGAAAAAGGGAAGCGAAATTACGGCGGAAATCGTTCGGCGCCGTTTTCTTCGATGAATTCAACTCGTTTGATTGGGAGCTTGTCGATGGAGATTTCCAGGTCCCCGTCCATCTTCGATATTTGCTTTTCGCGGGAATTCCTTTCACAGAGGATTCCAAAATTGAGAGCCCTAGCTAACAGAGGAGCGACGTCATGCCATGACGTAATCCCATATGATGGATAAGATGTATGTCGATTATATTTTGTAATCGGTATGAAATTTGTCTGGTACAAACTCTTCTCCCTTCCCTTCACCTTCCGTCCCTCGATATTCAGATTTCTGGAGGTGATCGGCGGTCGGCGTCGGCGATGACTTTTTTTTTTTTTTTTTGTTGGGTATATAATGGGCCTCGAAATGTGCTAAAAAAAAGTAGTCCAGTGACTAAATGGGTTTGGCCCACTTTAGTTTGAAAAATTTCGTATCTTTTGCTAAGATTAGGAGGGTCATCGGCCCAAATGTCCTAAACAGACGATTTACATATTCTCCTTGAGGATTATTTACATAATGGTGATTCACTACTCCTCAAAAAATATTATTTGAATTACCATTGGTGCATTTGTAGATTCTACGCGATGTAGTTTCATGCTTTTCTTCTAGCTTTTGGTCGGAGGGGTAATATCTCCACCATTCTTAGGGGATGTATGGTAGGAGATGGAAGTTGTATAATATATTCCCTCGTGTCCTTAATATAAGACATTTTGAATTTGTTCTAAGTTTCACTTAATATGTATTTTTAGTCGAAAAAAAACCTTAAAAATATATTCTTACATTCATTGTGTTCTCTTTACTGCTGTGAAATATTTTTAAGATCTAATCTTAGTTTTTTTTATTTCCTTTTTTCCGGTTTACAATTTATTTAGTAGCAAACTGACAAGTATAAACGATCTAAACTTGCAACGATTCAAAATTGAGTAACTCCTTTTATTTTAAATCCATATTGCGCTGAAAGGAGTATTAAGGTTTGATAGACATGTCCCTATAATTTACTTCCTCTAGATGATTATTCATTTTGTTATTTTATTTTTAGTAAATTTGTGTTAAAAATAAAAATTCAAACGACATAATCATTTTGATAGAGTGGTATTTCTCTTTCATCATGGATTATATTTTCTTCTGGAGGTGTGTTTTTCTTTTTCTAATATGTTCTAAATCTCTTTCATTTAGGTTTTTGGTATTTTAAGGGAAAAAAGATATATTTATAGTTCATCTGAAAATTTCCCCGCAAGCATGACTTATTTCAGGATGTTGGCTGGTTCTAAGTTATATAGTTTTGGTTTTAATTTTTTTTTTTTTGTTCCTTTGGAAGGAGATGGGCAAATAATATCATGCTCCTAGATACATATTATATTACAACGTGTACCTAGGAGCCTCATGTATTACAAACTTGGCAAAAAAAGTCGAGTTTTGTAATCTAAAAAATATGATACCATACACACATTTAATCTTCCAAATCCTTTGTTTAATTACGTGATTCCCGCACACTTTTAAATTTCGAACAGTCACATTTGTGTTCCCCTTATCCTCTAAAAATTATATCAATTTTGAGAAAGTTTTACAACATTCCATAATCTCTAGAAACACAATAATTAATCACAATGGAAGATGAAGATTTGGTTACAGATTTTTGATATAGCTTGTTGAATGACACTATAATTAAAAGAAGAAGTCAATGCCTCAATTTGCAGAAAATTACTGAGTGACAAACATATTTACCCCTCCTCTCAAATAAAGGTTAAACGGAAGTTACTGCCTACCATTCATCAGTTATCTATCTTTTCACAAAATGGTAATTTAAAATTAAAACTAGTGTACTAATTTTCTTTTCTCCCTTTGCATAATTAACACAAATGACACAAATCAAGTATAAATGAAAAGACAAATACAAACTCCATAGTTATGGTTATAATTTTAAATTTAGTTTAATTTGGAGTTCATCACGATTGATCATCGTTCATCATCACCAGTAAGTGAGGTAATCTTCAATTGCCATTGCCATCGGAGTTAATTTTGAATTGGTCATCTAGCGGTGGGATCTCTGCTTGGATGGTATTATGGCTACATCCAAGTAATAACCTTCCTGCGGACAAAAGAGACATCAGTTAACTATTAGAGAATTGAATGACGTAAGATGAAGAAGATTAATCAGCTTACTACCGAAAAATGTACCTGAAAGTTAAGTTGATTCAAATCCATATCACCATTGTCTGGAGACTGACTTCGGCTGTTTGCATTTGACAAGGTTCCCCCAACCTGATCGGACATTAGAATAACACCCAGTATGAGATTATAAAAGTCATGAGGAAAATTAATATGTAACATAATCACACAGTTAAGTGGTAGACACAGTCGCATGTTTTCCAACTAACATTTGGTTTTTCACCCAAAGCAAATTGTTTAGCATAGGTACACTTCAACAGAGTATAAAAAGGAAAAGCGCAAAAGTAAAGGAGATCATCTCCATCAAGCCTCAAGAAGCATAATTATGACATATTCATTACAGAAGACTTATAAAGATATGTACCTAATTTATGTAACAGATTATGCTTGAGATATTTACAACATGAGATTCTGTAAATGAATTTCAAGTTTTAGCCAATGAACAATTTCAACTTGATGCAAACATGACCAACCAACAACTAGACATTATACACAGCTAGGTATAGACGTTCGTAGCAATAAAGCTCAAGACAAGATATCTCAATATGTCATCCACTACCTAGCATAAATATGAAGATGTAAAAGAGAGCGGAATGTACGAAAAACCTTTTTAATCATCACGCCACTGTGGGGATCATGATACACAAATGCAATGACAAAACTGCATTTTCTCTTCTTGCTTCGGGAGCTACCTCTTGTACCTGGGAAACATTCCTTATCAACAAAAAAACAATGAAATGGTTCCTTTTTCCTAGTACTTGAAAAAAATGCTGAAGTAGGAAGTTGCCAAGTAGCAAGTCATGAACTCCAAATTAACAAGGACTTTATTCATTATGTAAATGACTTGCACATGCCCATAAAATCGCATTTTAAGTAACTAGATGATAGGTATTTGAAGTATTTTATATACCATCTCGGTTAATTCCCGCAAATTTGCATCCATCCACGTGAAGATTTACACCTCATCCTTCGGTTCCTCCCTTGCTACAGCAAAATCATTTGCCTTGTGATGCTCTCCAACCTGTATAGGAAAAATAAAACCTCTTACATTTTTCCTTTATTCTCTCAGGCTACTGATTCAAATGGAAATCAACCGAAACCTCTAACATTTTTCCAGGAGAAATAGGAAGCATGATTAGAATTACAATGACATTAAATAGGGAAAGATAGGGAGAATATTCTCACACACCAAACCGAATGACAGTCAAAGAATAAAATATTTTAGATAGCATGCAATTTGTACCATATGCTGGTAAAAGGAAAAAGTGTAGTTGCAAGTATGAGAACCATTAGAGGACTTCAGAACCTTTCTGTGAATAATAGAGTCTAGATCATGTAACACTTTCCAAGAACTTAGAAAGGATTAGTATACCTATGTGTGTCTCCACAACGTATAATTTTTACTTTCATAGCAAAATTGATCCACGACATGTTTTGAGAACGCACATAAACAGTCTCATAGCTCACTTTATTTTAAATTGGGAAGTTCCTTGTTCTCGAGCTTGAATAGAAATGGAAATTGTGAAGTTCTTTGTGCATTGAGACTGAATTATAATTTTTGTGTTCCTCCACTGCATAATTTTAAGATAACAACCATGCATTATCCATTTTAATTTCCACACAAAAACTCAACACAGATCCTTTAGACTTATTGTTGAGGATTAGCTATTCTCTTATCATTAATGCGTCACTTTTATTTTTTTCTTTGGGACGATATAGTCTATCATGCTTACTTCTCTGTCAGTGTTGGTTCCCATTTTGTGCCTTCCTTTGATGCACTATGCACTTCATCCCTTCTTAGGATCTATGTTACCCGGACTCTTCTATTTGGGGAGAATACCCGTGTCGTGTCGTGTCGATACTGGTGTGAGTATGAGTGTCGAGTATGGTATTTTAGCCTAAAATGTCCAAGATTTCTAAAATATTGACGAATCGGACACTCAGATCCCCGCACCCAATACAACACCCGTATCTGAGTCCAGGTAACATAGCTTAGGATGGTTAATTAATTATGATATGTATGCTGCAGTTTCTGAAAAGGGGTGTTGACATTCTAGTAGCCACTCCTGTGGGCCTGGTTGATATGATTAAGAGGAGTTGTGTATCCCTCAGGAATGTTAAGTTCTTGGCTGTAGATGAGACTGATCTTATGTTGGATATGGGGTTTGAGCCTCAACTTCGGAGAATTCACCAACAAATGGAAATGCCACGTGGGTGTCAGGCAGACTCTGCTTTTTCAGCGCAACATTCCCTACAGAAATACAGGTTGGTATTTGCTTTGTTTGTGTGTTCCATGTCGTTGTGTTAATCCAATTGCTTCATCCATTAGTTTGAATTCCCTCAAATTATTCAAATTTAAATGCTGCAGAAGCTTGCATCAGAATTCCTTTCGAACCATGTATTTCTAGCTGCTCGGAAAATTCAATCAAGGGCTGGCCACATAGCTGAAAAGGTTCAATTTGTTTCTAACATGGACAAGAGGAGTCCTTTTGTGAGCCCTGTTCAGGCTGTTCCAACCAAGAAATCAGATGGCACTGAAAGAAAGGTACAACAGATGAATTAAAAAATATTTCTTCCTAAATTTTAATGCTTTTTATTTCTTTCATTCTGGTGCCATGATCTCTCATTCATACAAATTCAATGCTTTTGGAGAATTTTGTTCGGATCTCTCTAGGGTCAGAACATTATTTATATGTTCATCCTTTTAAAATGTGCTAGCCAGACTAAAACATGGGTTTGATAGAATTGTCAGCTCAGGTATACTTTGATAGCGCATAGCTTATGTATGCTGCTTTCTGTTCTCTCCTCGTTGCTGTGTAGTTGGCTCTGGATTTGTTTGAGCGTTCAATGAGAAAATAGAATACTATTGTGTTCTCTATTCTTTCATTTGTTATTCTAAGGTTCCTCTTCTTGTGTGACCAGGGGTATGTTGGGACAACAACAATGGTGTTCGAACACTTAGGTAACCTTTATGTAACTGTAGATTCACGAGCAACATTGGAAGATAACTATAGTGGGGTCATGAGGGTTAGAGACTATGGACGTAAGGTTGTGGTTATACATGACACTTTGTTAGTAACAATATGTGGACCTCTCGATTATGCTGCAACTCTTGTTCATCGCCTCTGTAGACGTTGCAGGCGGCAATTTGCTGAGGATGGAAGAGAGGTGAGTGCCTACGAAGCTTTAGAAATGCTGCTTCAATTGAGGGATCAAAGTCCCTCTACCAATTGGAGCCAGATGACAGATTTGATATGATTTTGGCTGGATTCGATCGCCGTGGACCTATAATTTATCATATAAGTCGTCGCAATTGTAGGGAAGGTCGACGAGGCCCAATCCATAGTGGTTTAGGTGGGCCCAGTGCATATAAATAAAGTTCTTAAAAGGAGTGTGTTTGGAAGACTCCAATGATATACGATTGTCGAATTTGGTCAGACTTGCTTTATGCTTAGCTGCCCAGCGTGAGGCCTTTACAGGCAACATGGTAACCTTCCTAAAGATGACTCCACGTGGAATTATAAGCATGTTGATTGATAGGGAGCACACTGAAGCCCTGGCAGAGGATTTTGCAATTGATTTGAGTTCTCTTCCAATTCCAGAGGAATTTAGGGAAAGACTAATCTATCATAAAGATGAGATAGATAAATGGAGACAGGGGCAAGAGGAAGAGAGGTACTTGATTTTACATTTCAACATGTGAGCATCAGGTTTCAACAATACATGCGAAGGATGCCTAACTTCCTCAGTAAGATAGTTCTTAGTCTATTTACATTTGTTGTCTTTTATTCTACATCACCTGTTAGAGAATCAAACAAAAAGCAAAGAAGGGTTGATGGTGCAGAGTAGAAGGATAAAACCAGTACCAGATGTGGACATATTAAAATCTGTTTATATTTTGCTTTTTGGCTTTTGTTTTTTGATTATGTACCCTGGTTATGATGAACTCTCTGAAATCAGATTACTATGTGCTTGTAATTTCAAATCAATCATTGATTGATAATTGTTGCTTGGAAATACATTGTTGTAACCTCGACCTACATGTGCCCAAAGCTCCTTGCTGATATACCTTATATATATTTGGTTTCTTGGTGAGAGTCGGTTTGCCAGAACATCGTGTAGAGTTATCATTCCTAGTACTATGATTGACATCATTGCATCATTTTAGGTTGCTGTATGTTTCAGATTGTTGCACATCGAGCTGCATTTAGAGCTCCTGTAAGTAAACTTTCATCAGCAGTTACATACCACAGCTACAATTATTAGCTACGAGAAGCTACCTAGTGGAAAAATAATCATTTGAACTGTATCAAACATGACATGAGTGGACTTATTAACAAGGTCAATAGATGTTGCCTGTCTCCACTACTGTTGTGTGCTCCTCGTCCCTGAAAAGTTCCTACCTTAGAGTGACAACTGCAGTTTCAATTTTGAGCTCTGTTCCCAGAGTAATTTTTTTTTTCCTGAGAGTGGGCTTATTTGTTTTGAAAAAGGGGTGGAACCCTTATTAATGGTTGCAATAGACAACTGTAAGTTAGGGTGAACTTGTTGACTAACGGTGTTATCTTCCAAGAATGTGTTAAATTGTATGGTAACTGGGTTAAACATGATAAGGATTTTGCTTTTTCTTGTTTGTTTTGGGATGTTTTTTTTATTGGCTTTTCGTGGAATCTCTTGAGCTCAAAGAGAGTTTTATGACATTATCATAGTTCTAACTAGCTTAGCAATGGATGCTACGTCTGGTTGACTCATGCCTCTCCTCTTTTAAACACTTGAAAATCACGGTATATGTTCCTAGGATTGATTGGGGATGCAATAGTTTTTTTTATACTTTTTCTGTTGCGAGGAGTTTTACTGTGCTCATTTCCAGAAAACTTTTTAGAGCTCATGGTCAAGTCATTTCAATTGAGGAGTTATATATAGCTTTCATTCAAAGTATGAACATTGCAACTTCTCTGGGGTTATGAGTCCAAAGTCACTCTAAACCCTAAACCCTAAGGGAATGAGATATTAAAATATCAAGTATTAACAATTTTCAGGAGTGGAACTTCTTGCCACGAACGGTAGTTGAGCACTACATATTGCTGGTATTTTTTATTAAGGGCATAAGAAAAATATACTCCCACCGTCCCAAAAAAATAATTTGTATTGAGTTTTGAGATTTGTACTAACTATTTTTTGGGGATAGAAGTAATATTTATTAGAAGTAATACACAAGAATCCTTCGTGCTTTTTGAAACTGCACAAGAACCCCCTCATGGTTTAAAAATCACACGAGAACCCCCTCGTGCTTTTCCCAAAAGTGTAAAGTGGGATGGAAATACCTTACACTAACATTTGGCAATTTATTTGAATATTTTACCCCTCTTTATAACATATTGATCAAAAAAAGTTGGCCAACATTTTCTTTCTTCCTCGTCTCCTCCACCGGATTCTCTCCTTCTAATGCTTCAAACCCCCACTTGAAGAAAAAGTTTGAACCTGGCATTTGCCCTTCTTATCTTTTTCGTTCTCCAAATAGATTTCTCTCTTCCATATGCTACAGTCATCACCCTAAAACCGAACACCTAAACATGTTTGTGCAACCATAATGATGGGATTCAAATTCCTATCGGCCATGACAGACGGCCAACATTGACTATGGTGGAGGTGGACAAATCCGAGACAATTATCAATCTTCCTATATTTGTACACAATTGGAATTCAAAATATGATTTTGAGGTTGTGGAAACCCTTCTTGAGATTTAACATCTTCTAGGATTACTGGGTTCTAGTCTACTACAGTGTTCTCAAATCTCATTTCATAGTTGTGCTATTTTTTTCTTCAGATTTAGACATGGAATCCTTTAAGATAATTAATTATTCAACTATTTGTTCATCTTGGAATCTTATTTTTTTATCTTGCAATTGGATATAGTTTGCTGCCTTTAGATTTTGGAATTCTTTCAACTGCTAATGTTCAATGTTTGTGATTTTCAAAGACAATTTGAGGAGGCATTTGCGATGCTTATGTTTAAATATGGATTGTGCAGTGAAAAGAATTGATGTTGGTGAGTTTTTCTGTTAAATGGTGGTGGACGGTTGGTGACGGCGGTGGTGGATGAAGCCTGTTGCTTTGATAAATGAATGATGATGTTGATAAGCTTTGCAAAGAATGCCAAAGATTAAAAAAAAAACAAAACCTTTAGAAAAAATAATACTCCCTCTGGTCCTTAATATAATGCATTTTGATTTGTCCTAGGTTTAACCTAGTATGTGTTTTTAATTAAACAAAAAACCTTAAAAATATTTCATAACAATCAAGAGAATACAACGAATGTGAAAATATACTGTTAAGATTTTTTTTCGTCAATTAAAAATGCGTATTAGGTGAAACCTAAGACAACATCAAAATGGCTTATATTAAAGACCGGAAGAAGTAATTCAGATACAGACAACACAAGGGTTCTCCTCAAGACGCAAGTGGTGTATAAATTCCGTTATTGTTAAATTTTTCATCCACTTAACACTTTTGGGGAAACCATGAGGGGGTCTTCATGTGGTTTTTAAACTATAGGGGGTTTTCATGCTGTTTCAAAAAGCATGAGGGGGGTTCTTGTGTATTACCCCTATTTATTATAAAGGGCCTTAGATTTGTTGTCACAGTGTCATTAAATTTATTATTTACTTTTTATGCTTTTTAAATCCTCAAATGACTATTTTAACCTTCACTCAATTCGTCAGAAAACCTAGATCAATTTCAAAACTTCCTCTTCTCCTCTCTATCATATCCTCCTGCCTCCCTCTTACTTTCGAGCCTTTACAATCTGATTAGAGCATGAACCCTAATTTTCAATTAAAAAAAATCCTCTTTGTTCTGTTGTTTTTTTAAAACCTAAAATTAAGAAGCAATAGCCAACATGTACAAAATCAGTGGTTGCTTAGTTATCAATTAATTAAGGGAACGATTCTGCCATGGATGAGGTGGGGAAATCTATGAGTTATTGGAAGAACTTTCTTTTAACTTTGAAGTTACAATCTTGAAATAGATTGAAGGAATTACAGCTTGAAGACTTAAATAATGATCAGATTGATCATAAGACTGCTGCTTTTAGCAAGATCGAAGCTGTTAATATGATTTCCAAACAGAAAAATGAGTGTAGTTGTATATTCACGGATATACCCTTCTAATTGTATATAGAGCTGTTAGTTAGTAAGGATATAATAGTCATTGAACATAATTGAGGAGTTAGTCGATTAGATCAACTATCTATAAATATGATGATCATTAGCTTTATAAATGATGTAATTCAGACGCATTAATATCTGATTCCATTACAGAATTTAATTCCCATTTCTCTCTCTCATCTTAACCCTAATTTTTGCCATTTCTTTGAGCTTGATCTCACTCATGGTATCAGAGCTGGAGTAATCCAGCCTGACCTGAGTAGAGAATCTGCTTTCTTACATCTTCCGCTACAAAACCTCATCAATTGATTCCGAGAATTGAATCCTTTGGAGCGGATTCGAGTCGCGGTGCAAAACTTCGAGCAGGAATTGGTCGCGCTAGAATTGAGGAACTGGATCGAGAAGTCTCTAGGGAGCGAAATCTTGATCGTGACACGGAGTTGTTCATGGAAGAACAAATGCAGATCCACGGATCAGACGGTCCAAGCATGTTCTTGGCGAGTACTCCCTTGACAACCACAGATTACTTGATGTGGAGGATTGCTATGATTACAGCTTTAAATGCGAAGTCAAAACTAGGTTTTGTTGATGGAACCTGTAAAAATCTTCCGTTGAATTATGTTGCTTATCTTTGGCAGTCAAGAGTGAATAGCATGGTTACTTCTTGGATCTTGAATGCTATTGACAGTTCTCAAGTTAGTAGTTTCATGTATATTAAGAATGCAAAGCAATTGTGAGATACAATAGCACTTCGATATGGAAAAATTAATGGATCATTAGTCTATCAATTAAGGAGAGATCTTGCTCTTATCAACAGGGAGATATGAACATTATAGAGTATCATAACAAGATCAACAAGTTATGGGATGAATATAATTAGTGGAGACCACCTGTTAGTTGTGTTTGTGATAGAAAGAAGCACTTTGAGAGTAGAGATGCAGAAGATAAATGTTATCAACTGCTTATGGGTCTAAATGAATGCTATGAGTCCTTCATGAATGAAATTCTCCGTATGAATCCTTTGCCTGATATGGATACAATATATGCAATGTTACTTAAGGAGGAGACTAAAGGAATTGCCTTACTATCAAACTCTTATAGAACACCTGGTCATCAAAGAAGATTGTTGGAATCTTATGGAACGCCAGGATTTCAGGTTGGTTTATTGCCTAAAACACCTGGATCAATGACACAACCAGGACACTCATCCAAGTAGGGTATGGTCACCAAAGAAATGAAGATGCCAGCCAAGAAGGAGAAAATGAAGCTCTTCTGTACACATTGCAAAAAGCCTGGTCATTTGAAAGAGGATTGTTTTCTTATAAAGGGATTTCCAGACTGGTGGAGTACTCATAAGGGACCAAATCGCACCAATGCACATTCAGTGAACACGATTGATACACCATTTGAGTCAGAAAGCCCAAAATCAGCTAGTGATACCTGGCAGATTCAGAAACTTGAAGCTACATAGAATTGGTTGGCACAATCTGCTAGAGGAACTCAGATGCCAGAGTATACAAAGGGAAACTGGCGGAATCTACTTTCGAGTCTGGTGCAAGCAGAGGTTTGAAAACTCCTGAAAGGCAAAGGATCAACAAGTAAACCAGGAGCTGGCTTCTCTATCAATTACGCTCATTTCAATAATTTTTCAGATAGCTCTGTTGCTCTTTATCTTAGTTCAAATGTGATTTGTTTGAGTAATTTAGTGTGGGTCACAGATACAGGAGCCACATGTCACATGTGTTGTTCTATTCAGCTCTTATTAATATCCAATCAGTCAACTCTTACACTCCTGTGTTGCTACTTGATGGAAGTGTCAAATCTGTAGAACACATAGGAGATGTAGTTCTTTCTGGTAGCATAACCCTTACTTCTGTGCTACATGTTCCCACTTTTCAACATAATCTTCTTTCAGTAAAAAAACTAGCCCAAACAAATGGAATTTATTTCCAGTTCTTTGATGATTTCTGCTTGCTGCAGGACCTCAAGACTAACAAGGTTCTTGGAGCAGGCACAGTTGTCAAAGAACTTACATTCTCACACCATATTCCTTCACTGAAGAAGCCATTCATAAATCTCAGTTACTATACTCAAAGCTAGTTTTATCAGTTTCTAGAGCAGTTAGCCATTTTCCTTGTAATTCCACCTTCTATTATGAAAATAAGATTAGTGCCAATGTAAGTGTTGTTACTTGTCATAATCGTTTAGGACATCCATCAGATGGTGTAATGAAATACATTCATCCTTGTAATCAAACCTTTACTGATCAAGATTTGAAGAAAGATATATGTGAAGTTTGTCCTTTATCCAAACAATACAGAAATTCATTTCCTATTAGCACTATTCAATCTGTTAGAACTTTTGAGATCAAAGGCCTCTTGTGGGGGAGAAGAACGAAAGTCCTTCCCAATTAAACTGGATGGAGTAGGAGACAGTGGTGACACAGAACATTATAAGATCAGTAAGACGTTGAGGAAGACTAGCTTTTGTAAGAGCAGCTTGTAGGAAAGGCCAAGAAACTCTGTCATATGCTTTGCTCATATCCAGTTTGACAGCTGCTACACCAAGATTACCTTCTTTGCTTCGTATGTATTCAATCACTTCATGAGCAATGAGTATATTTTCACTGATGTTCCTTCCCAGCACAAAACCATTTTCGTCATCAATGAGGTCAGTCATGACATTCTTGAGTCTGTTTGTGATCATTTTGGTGATGATCTTGTATTTCACATTACAGAGGCTAATGTGCCTAAAGTCACTGGGTTCTACAGGATTAGCTTGATCCCATTCTGCAAGAAATTGTTGCTGATTAACTGCATCCAAGATAGTTGACTCAACGTCATTACCTACTATATCCTTGTATTTCTCATAAAAGCCAGCTGGTATTCCATCCGGATCTGGCGATTTCCAGGGAGCCATTTGTTTGATTGCTTTCCAGACTTCTGCTGCTGTGAAAGGTTGATCCAGTGAAGTTGCTTGGTTAGGAATGATGATGCATTTTGAGAGGGCGATTCCACTTGCCCATAGATACTAGAGAAGTGTTGTAATACCAATTTTCCCATTTGAGTTGGCATTGTTACCACTCTCTCTCATCTTTTTGTAGCGCCATGATCCATTTGTTTTCTTTCCTCCGATTGGCCCATTTATGAAAAATCTTTGTATTTCTATCTCCCTGTAAAGGCCAAATGAGCTTTGCCCTCTGCTGCCAATAATCTTATTGGTGTTGTAGAGCTTGTTCCAGTTCTTCTCATTGCTTTTGCAGTTGAAGGAATAAATTCTCATTGCTCTGATTTGACTCGCACCTTTGTTGGAGAGTTGTTAGCTCCTCAGAAAGTTTATGACTAACTTATCTAAGTTACCAAACTTGTTTTTACTCCAACTGTGTAAAGTGGTTAGGCTCTTCTTCAGTCTATAGGACAAATTCTCCTGGCTATATTCAATGTGAAGAGCTTGTTGATTCCAAGCAGTTTGAGTAAGCTGACTAGCCTGAGGACATTTAGACCAAAACTGCTCAAATTTCTGTTTACTCCTTGATTTATGGTTTTTCTCTTTCAAATGATGAAGACTGTACCATGCTCTGACGACATAATAGGAAGGTTCCTGATAAATGCCTTCGAGAAGATTGCTAACCACTGGTTATTGACAAAAGCTTGATCAAGTTGTTCAAAGATGGCATCTTGGTTTTGACTTTGTTGGTCCAAGTATACCAGCAACCAATGTGATTCAATTCTTCTAGTTCATTTTGAGAGATGACTTGACGAACACTGCTTGTTTCCTGATCTCGTACTTGTCTTCCTCCACTCTTGTCTTCTTGATTGAGAACTTGATTGAAGTCACCTAATGTAATACTAGAGAAAGGCAGACTATTGATGGTGTTGTTAAGCCTGGACCAAAATTCAGCTCGCTCTTGACGAGAAGGCAAGCCATACAAAAGGTGGCTATCCACCCAACTCCAGAAGACTCACGAACCTTGGTGACTATAAAATTGGAGTTGTAGTGTAGCACACTAAGTTTGACACCATCTAACCAAAATAAGGCTAATCCCCCACTAAACCCTACTGAATCCACTACTATAGAATTTTTAAAAGGAGAAAACTGTTGCCAAACATCTATACAATGTTTGTTTGCTTTTGTCACCATAAGAACAATACTAGGTTTATATTGCCTATATAACCTACTCACTACAAATTGAGAAGAGGCATTATTCATACCTCTACAATTCCAAGACATAATATTCATATCAACAAAGGCGGTTGATTTGGCTCAACCATTGCAAATCTCTTCAGCATTTCAGGTGTGGTACCTATCTTCCTAGGATCATATATGTGCTCATTCACAGCCATAGTATCAATTGTTTGCACAGATTTTATGACAAAGTCATTACTACACTCATTCAAATTAGACACAGAATTCATTACCTGAAGAGTTAGCTGTGAATTGTTTTCCTTGATGATCATTCCTCGTTTCCTAAAGCTTGTTGCTACCTCCGAAAGAGTCAAATCTCGTTTCTTTCCACCAGTCGAGGCTGAACTCTTGTAAGTACCAGAATTGCTACTCCGCTGCTTACAGGAAAAATGGCGCCATAGCTTTTTTGGTTTTCCTTTTAAGCCTATTGACGAGGTGGAGGAGGAAGGAGGAGCTACTTGTGATTCAATTTCCATAAAATTGCCATGAGGTTCATCCCCACCTGTTTTGGCCATAGGTCCCTCCGTTGTCTTTGTCTGATCTACAAAGACCTTAGTCCTTGCCACCGTTGACACCATCTCGGAAAAATTGTCACCATCCACGGCATTAGCTGGAACTTCTACCTGTGAGGGGGTAGAAACTTTCCTCCAATTCATCTGTTCTCTTGGAGAGGGAACATAGTTATTAAACAAAGGAGTGCTGGTACATCTCTTTTTTCGGCGATTATTTCTCTTATGCCAACCTGGTTGTGGAGTCGCCATATGTTGGGATGCAGCTAACTTCAAGGTGATAATAATTGTAGAAACTCCATTCGTCATGGTTGTTACAAGATGTTGAAGGCTATCTAATTGACATTTGAGTAGCTCTCCAATGGTTATAGCTTTTGGAATGGCGGTACCTAAAGTTGTAATTAGCTGAGAATGGTTGCACTGAAAAAGATTTTTCGCCAAAGAAATGTAATTAAACACTTTGCCTACCTTCCTCAATTCTGCTACTATATTGACCTTGCCGAAATCTGACCTTTCATGAGGCTCGGTGGTGGATGGTTCTGCCAAAATGACCCAGATCTAGGTTTATTATCAGTCAATCTGGAAGCAGCCAAACTATTCCGAGCGATTACAGTTTTAAAAAACACAAACTCTTCAACACGCAAGGGGAAGAAGGAGAAGCGCCGGCCACCGTCTTCGACATCAACAATGCTTTTGAAACAATAACTTGGTCGATTGCAGTTGAATTGAGACGTTACCAGCTGGAAATTGGCCGTGATTCGACAGAGAATCTATTTCTTCTACTCTAAATTGGATGTACATATTGAAGTTTGATTTTTAATAGAATTTGCTATGAAAATTAAAAATTTCTAATTGTTTTGAGACAGAAATAATATTTATTAAACCTTTCGAGGAACATCGTTTCAGAAAGTGTACCAAAACATGAATTTAGTGTCGATTAAGCCGATCAATCCAAGCAAAAGCAATACTTTTTTTCGATCAACGCTTGAAGCACAATGAACACTGCAAATGCATACAAGTGGTACATTTAGCTGCAGCGTGTCATGTGGCATGTGAGGCCTAGCAATGCTAACCAAAAATATTATACTACTCATTTAAATCGAGATTGGAGAGGGTTTTCTTCTTTTTTTTTTTCATATTTTTAGGGTGTTCACCGTCGGTAACAGTGACTAATCCCCCTCGCTGCAAATGCATACAAGTGGTATATTTAGCTGCTGCGTGTCATGTGGCATGTGAGGCCTGGCAATGCTAACAAAAAATATTATACTACTCATTTAAATCGAGATTGGAGGGTTTTTTTTTCATATTTTTAAGGTGTCCACCGTCGGTCAAATTTTATTTTCCTTTTATCTTAATGGAGTTGTTAGCTACTGGAATTGTTTCCATCTTATAGCTACTTAAAATATTCTTCTTTTTTTATAGAATAAAATATTGTAATTCATGGGGTGCAAAATCTGATGAAAAATTCAACCGTTATACTAATCCTAAACAATTTCTCCTTCCCTATATCTTTCATCATGTAACACAACTGGCAATACTATATTATAATACTAAAGATATTCATGAATTAGTATTACTATTCATCGAATTGCTCAATGGGTCAATCTCTTATGTTGAAGCAGAAAGCACTACAACAAAAATGAGTAGTTTAGACACTTTTTTGTATCTCAATAAGTGGTGTAATAGAACACATGTGATTCACATTGCAAGGGACACTACTAAATAGTGTCTCCTACAATCGAGTCACAATAAGTCATAAAATATTTGAAAGTGTATTATTAGATTGTCACTTATTAAGACACTTTAAAGTGACCCATTAATTATAGTAATAGTTCACAAGCAACCCCACATAGTACACTTATGATAGTGTTTCATAATATGCATACACTTTTTCATTTTTAATAAGACACTTTTAGCAAATGTCCTAATACACATATAATGAGACATATTTTAGAAAAAGTGTCCCACTATAAAGGTATTAATAGCCCATTTTTGTGGTAGTTAAGCAATACTACTACAGTTTTTTCTTTTGGAATGCACAAGACCCTAAACTTGGACGTTAGAAATTAAACCTTTGGCTTAGAGGTGCTAAAAGTATATACTTTATATTCCTAAACTCAAGACGAGACGTTGGATTATCAGACCCAAGATTTATTTGCCAATCATTGAACCATATAGTGATTGTTAAACTTAAATTGTCGCAACCAATAAATGCTGCAGCTATATAATTACTCTCGCCATTTTCTGTTAAGAGAATAACATAACTGTTAGTTTGAAACCTAAAAAGAACATGTTGATAACCAAGCATTGACACGTTTCGATTCCATCTTTGTCTTTCAACTTAATTTTGGTATAGAAAGTATAGTTCCTTTCTATTGTTCCTCTCATTCAAAATCTATGACAAGCAGTTACTTAACTAAACAGCGTTTAAGATTTGAGATGGGGTATTGGTTAAGAATTAAAAATGTTGAAGAATGAAGCATTTGTAGGGTATATAGGAAAAGGACCACGTACCTAAATTTTAGAGGGTCCTCCCTCCTAGTGAATGTTATGAGAATGACAGTCTTTGTTAACTTATTATCTGAACTGTCCGTGAACTGTTGACGTTTTTAGACGAGTGACGATGGCTTCGTTTTCCGTCATTTTCATCTCAATTATCTTGCTCCCTCCTCTATCCCATTTTCAATAATCCAAATATACATCATCACCAATTCCTTATACATATCAGTTATCCCGTTTCTGCATGCAAGTCTACATATGATATTGCAACGTACTATATGCAATGTTTAATCAATTACACAACTATTATAATCATAGAGGCGACCAAGCGTTAACGATTTTACGTGCAGAATTAGAAAATTTTTGTACAGACAGAGTTAACGACTAATTTTTAAGAAGTTAGAGACTTGGAGTAAAATACTTTGTAGATTTTTACGTTATTTAATCATTGATATTGTTGGGATTTGTTATTCGACGGGATGAATGAAAAGTTTGAAAAGCTAACTAATTAATATAGTGGCAAAAAAGAGAGAAGCAACAGAGACAAATGGCAATAAAAATTTGGCAAAATATTAGAGTAGGGCCATAAGAATAAGAGAGGTGGACCGGTCAAAATTAATTAAGGTTTGGAGGTTGGTGATGAGGGGTGGCGGTGGATGTGTTGGATGCATGGGAACAAAACCTTAAATGCTTTATAGCGATCCGGCGTTACATTATACATTTTCCCCGGCGGCCCCCAAGAAACAATATAGAAGTAGAAGGAAATAAAAAGGCACCACTAATTGCCTAATGACGAGAGAGAGAGAGAGAGAGAGAAGGCAGAAATTAAAAGAAGCCATCATATTATATTGTAAGGTTTTGTAACGTTACATTGAGAGAACCCCCAAAAAAAAAAAAAAACAAAAATGTCAATAATCTTTTCATTCAGTCAATCTCTCTTTTCCATCATAACAGGCAATAACACATGGTTTGCCTCTTCTTTTAAGTTTTAATTATCTTTTCTTTGATTTTCAATCTTTACCCACTTTCTAATCAACATTATTTTAGTCTGTTTTTGGACTTTTTTGGTACCATCCCCTTTTACATTAACATGGCCTAATTAATAATCCCCCTCATCATTATAGTGTGGGATTCCGATTAAAACCCCGTTTACCTATATTCTTACTTCCTTCTGAATCAACCCACTTTGAGAAAGTTGAAGAAGAGTCCATAGTTCTTCAAATGGCGAATACCGGTGAGGTGAAGGAGAAGAAATTGTATGTGTATAAGTTTGATACAATCGGGAATCATCAGAAGAAGCCGCCGCCGGAGAATGAGACGGCGAAGAAGAAGATGGGTTGGGGAGTATTAAGGAGATCCAAAACGGTTCGAGAAGTAGTGGTGGATCATCATCCTCCTCATCATAATAACAACATTATTGCCGCCGGAAGACTTAGTGTTAGCAGTTATAAGAATCCGCCCACGGATTACGGCGTTGAGGATGAGAAGGAAATTGTAGTTGAAGGGAGGAAATCGGCGTGCAGCGAGGCGGCGGCGTATGGACACCGGAAGTCGGTGTCGCATTTAGAAGTGAACGTCGGCGCCGTGGCATCTTTCCTGCAGGTGAAGATCTTGGTCACGGATATGCCCGGATTCATGCAGGTTCACGCTTTCCGGTGTGCCAGAGGAACTTATGATAGTCTCGAGAAATTCAGCCCAAAACACATGGCTTACAATCTCAAGAAGGTAAAATCTTTAATTACTTACTAATTACTCCTACTAATCAATCATTCACTAATTAAGTGTTTCGTCAAAATTGATGCATATTTTGATACCTTTTTGGTTTGTTGGATTTTGTTTTTTTGTCATTGCAAGAAGTGATGAGAAAAATGGTTTTTGGACGAAATTTAAAATCATTCTTATTTTTATAGCTAGGCCACATTGTGTTTCTTTGTGGTTCTTCTTCTTCTTCTTCTTCTTCTTCTTCTTGTCGGGGACCGGACAACATTCCTCTTTTGAATGATTTTTCCTCAAGTGAATCAATCAGTACAAAACACATGAACACACATGGTTGTTTTGTTTGGTGTAGTCCTAGTCCTTTTTTGATTTGTTCATCATCTTTGAACGACCTTCTTTTTCTTTTATTTTTTTTCCCCCCAAGAAACAATTAATGGTAGAAGATCGGATTAAGTTTCTAGGAGGAAGGAATCTTTTTTTAAGATTAACGTTGTTTTTTTGTTTGTTTTTGTTTTTTACCTTGGATAAATCCAGTTTATGGTCTTGGTTGTTTGTGTCTGACAATATTATACCTCGTCTCAATCCTCCCACCATGGACGAGGGTTAAATTCTTTAGAAATGGTGTAGTCAGTCTCCCCATCTCTGTTAAGCACATGTAGCCTGTCGGGTATTGAATCTTTGAAATCTGGCATTTCCATTTCCATTTTCATTTCCATCTCATCTTGGGTTCATCTAAATTAATGTAATAGTGATTAATTTCTTCATTTTTTAAGTGAATAATTAGTGAATAAATGTAACCTTTATATTGTAATGGGTCGGATCAAGTAGTAAGAAACTTGTGTCGTGGTCAGTTTGATCAAGCGGGTAAGATACTTGAAGAAAACGTAATGTGTTGATTTTTAATGCATGTCTCTTTCCTTACACTTTGCACTATTATATCCCCAATGAAATAATAGTTGGTTGGACCGGTTGACAAGTAACAATACGAATACGATACATACAAAAATTGGATATATAGCCCCATGTTAGCATCTTGCCACAAAATCATTAATAATTTACGCCTCTTCACCAATTATATATATATATATATATGTGTGTGTGTGTGTGTTGCTAGCTGCAATTTTTTGTTCTCTTTTGCTGGGGGTAGATATAAGATATTCTCTTGTCACATTGTTTTATGATGATGTGGTTTGTATTTTGTTCTCATGCATCATCATCATCATCATCATCATTTGTTTAATCATCTTCAACAGCTAGATTAGTGCATTATTATATTGTACAGGTCACTTTTTGTGTTCCATTTTTTGAGATTAGTGTTACCAGTTAGTGCACGTTATTGAATTATTATTGAGAAATTTTCCAGGAATTTGACAAGGTATATGGGCCGGCCTGGCATTGTATAGTGGGCTCAAGTTTTGGATCATTTGTCACACACTCCACAGGCTGCTTCCTGTATTTTTCAATGGAAAAGCTGTACATCCTAGTGTTCAAGACCAAAGTTCAAAGAACCCTACATCAACCATAGTCTCAAAAGGATACATTATATACTAGCCAGAAGTGAGATTCTAGCCAGCAATTTTTTTCCTTTGCAAAAAACAAAAACAAAAAAAAAATATATAGAAAAAGAAAAAAGGAGTAACTCTTTCACATTAGTAATTTTCTTTTTCATTTTCCTTACTCTTTTTGCCTTCTTAATCTTTCTGCATAATTGTATTTTTCTTTTTTCCCTGAAGCTTGTAAATAACAAGAGGTAGTAAATGAAATAAGTTGTATTCTTTATTTTGTTGAGTGTGCTCCAAAAGGTCATTGGCTAAGCATCATCTATCAAATTGCCTTCAAAAACATACGGTCAAATTAAAATTCCGGAAGAAACTAGTAATAGGCTTCTACAAGAAAAGTAATGGTCAAAGTAGAATTCAATAAGAGTGCACTTTTTTTAATCTTCTAGGTTTGACCGGTACCATATCATGAATAAAATACGATATAGGACTCCATTCATCCCCAAAAAAATCAAAATTGATAAAATACGTTTTAGGACTCCATTAGTCCCAAAAAAAAAAATCAAAATCAAAATTGTAATTGTGATTTGTAGTGTTTTTTATATAAATTACTAATTAAAATGTGATTTTTTTAAAGACAAAAATAATAGCTCATTTAAACGTATATCTCTCCATCATTTTATCCAAAATAAAATGACAATCAAAGAAATGTTACTAGTCATAATATAACCGAAATATTTTGATTTCGAACATTGCAATCTACGCGGGAAAGCTTTAGTAGCTAACAAACAAATAAGGATCACAAGAGAAATCGGGGTAAACATTTTACTTAGTACTAGATTAAGAAGCTTTTATCGAACATTTTAATAAATAAATTGAATTTTTATTTTTAAATGAAGGAAATACTATCATCTTTCAAACATTATGTTAGTAGAGTATTATAAAGATTGATGAGAATTCATAATCATTAATTCGAGTTACATCATTCATTCAATTATTTAATTCTTATCAAGTTATCCATCAAAGTTGACACTTGGGGCCAGTGGTTCTTCAACCCTTAAACTCGATGTGTGAGGACTTAATCGGCGATAACATCGCGGGCTAATATAGCCCATCGACTTTTGAAATGAAAAAGGAACGAATGCCTAAATGAACCGGAAAATAATGGCCGGCCACCGGCGGCGACTAATCATTGATTCAATTGGCGATTGCCCTCTTTTCTTTTGTCGCGTTAGGCAAATTGGTGGCTTGAAATTTTCTCAAAGTGGGGACAAAACGAAATACGTCGAGAAACCATTATCTCAAAGGAGGCAGCTTCTCTGAATTCAATTGTCCGCGTGTCATTATTGTCTTGATGATAATTAGAAATTAGTACTAATCTAATCTCTCTAAGTTGGACTCCAATCTCATACAATTGGATATGATGTTGCCTTGTGGGTTCCCCACTATCGAATGATAATGATCTCTGTTTAGATACATAACAGTAATTAAAGTACTCCTTCCGTCCCAAAACTGTCCTGTTTTGATTTTCATTTTTATATAAATTGACTAAAAGCAAAAATCTAAAATAGACAATAATTTTCATAGATAATATTTATTAGGAGAATGTAATATTCTCGATCCAAAATATACTTAAAAAAAAAAAAAGAAAAAAGAAGAAGATATTGATTTATTAGATGTGGTTGAGCTTTCGGTATGAACGTATGAATATTGTGATGTGTACGTATGATGGGAGTATGAACGAATTTAAGTAGTTTATTTGGGGTCAGTGCAAGCCATCTCTGTAACCGCTGAAGCTTGAATTGGTCGACTAAAAATTCCTAGAAAATTAATGGCGAATCAAAATAATTTAGCAATTGGGGCCACGCTCATCCGCGGCTGCGCGTTGAAGCAGTCAAACTCCCACCTAAGCCCAATCCTTACCGGAATTACATGTACAAACAGGGCATTTTCCGGCGTCCGGCTAGCCGGAAAAACCCCTGAAGAATATACTCCACTATTCTTGCAGGTGTGGCAAAATTATTTCACTAAAGAATGATTAAAAAACCAGACAACATAATCGAAATGATTCCACTCATATATACAAGAATTACAACAAAAAACTCCTACAAGGGACATGTATGGTTCAATTGACAGAATTCTCCAAAAAAAATTTCTTATCCCACCACAAACAATATGGAAATTGATAACGAATACACAAGTTTTGACAAACTACCAAGAATCAAAAAAACACAAACCCGTATTTATAAATGATGGATCATCATCCTTAGAAAGAAAAAGGTTTCCATTTATATGCAAAACCCAAACAGAGCTATTGAACAAGAATGGGCACAAAACAGAGTACTGCAGAAACAGAGCATGGTGAAACTATATTTTTTTTACCTACGACGGCCCGCAGGTTTTCTCTTCTGGGTTTTCGAGGAAGATGAAGAAGCTGGCTTTCCAAACATGCCACAACAACCTGAGACTCTGGGAGAAGGTGGATCATACGATGGTGCAACGTTTACAGTCTTATATGCAGATGATTTTGTGGCTGCTTTTCTGTTATCTTCTTGTTGATCAGTGTCCTTGTTATCATCGGTGCCAGTGTTGATTTTCTTTAGTTCTCCGGATAAGAACTTATCGTCCCAAACCAACCCTGATGAGCCTTGTCTTCTAAATGACATCTCTGACCTCTGCAATCCAGCCATATGTATAATATCTTTCTTCAATTGAGCTGATCTTTTTCTTCAAAAGGGATATAAAATTGAAGTGATGGGTTTTTAATTTAGATATTTGTTCTATATATGCGGTGTGTTTTTGTTGTAGTGGAGAGATGAGGAGGAATTGAGGAATTGGGATGAGTCGTCCACCTGTGCCGTTTTTGGGGACTTTTTTTTTTTTTTTTCGAGTTTTTGTATGATAATGGGCAGTATATATAGCGGTAGAAAATGACAAAACAAAGAACTTTAAGATGAACTTTTTCGGAGGTAGAGGTCAATAAACGGTATCTAATTATTTGGTTTAATGAAGTTAATTTCAAATAATTGCAAAATACCTTTAAAATTGAATTGAATTGTAGATTTCTTGACCCATATTCGTGTTTCTAATGTTTCACAACATATTATCATGTTGACTTTTTTTTTTTTTTTTTGGGCAGGTATCAAATCTTTAACTTACAATGTTTTTGTTACTTTGTGGTTATGTTATAACGAGAATATGTTTTTTGTAATTCATTATGTGATTATAAATTTGATCTCTTCTTATATTATTTATTCGTTCCTTGATAATCTGATATGTATTCGCTATTGAATACTTTGAAAATAATATCAAAATTGGATTTTAAATTACCATACAAAGTGGATTTAATCAATCTTAAGATGAATGAAAATACCAATAAGAATTGAAAATGTGCGCTTGGATTAATCCAATTTGTTCAAAAAGTGTAATTTTTGCTGGCTAGTAAAAAGTATCAAAATGGGAGAAGGTTATGAAATATAAAAGTAAGGTACTAAGGTGATTACATGATACAATTAGCGAGATTTCACGAAATAACAGAACTTGGAGGGAGGTTTTTTTTTTTTTTTTTGTTGGCAATTGACTCTTTGTTTTGTTGCCAATTGCCCTAATTGGAGCCGGTCAAGTTGACATCTAATTCCACCTTTGCCCTTTGAAACGTGTTAGGGTTGTTTCCTTATTCTTGTTTGGTTGGCTGAATTTATTTTGCGAAAAGCCAAATCCACTTATGAACTATATATGCTACAATTTTCTTTTAAATTTTTTTTTTGCTTATTATATAGGATAATGATTTGATATGGTAAACTCAAATAGTTTATCATTTTTTTCCTGTTTGCGTTGATATAGTATTATTGTGCCAACTTCAGAAAACAAAAAAGAGTACTAAAGAGTCAACTCCAACGACTTTAACTTGGCTTATACTATTCCAAAATCTTGTATCCATAAACGGGTTCACATACTTTGTTCTAATTTAGCAATAAATTCAACAAAAGAGATGATACCATCCACCAACCCGGGAGCCAAAAGATATAATTAATTTGTCTGGTTTAAAAGCAATATATAAATACAGTATTTGATAATATGTTTTCTTTTCACAAATATGAAATACTATGGCTATATTTTGTCTCATTTTTTCTCTTAAACACAAAACCCAATGCAAAATAAAACATACCCATACAGTAGTGGAACCAGCTACTCGGAGTTGGAGGAACTGACTACACATTCATAGTCAAGATAAAACATAAATGGTCAAACATATACAACGTAAGACTAATTATGACTACCCTTAAGGAGCTTTCAGTCCGACCGGAGGCCCGAGCTCCTAAAGGGTTTCGCCCCTGTATACATACAATATTTTATACAATGATTATCTACCATCACCGGACAATATTTGTAGCATAACAATCCTATATGATTGATGAATAGATCAAGTTGGTATCCTAATTATTACTGTATTAGAATTTGGACATTTAACTCATCAGTCATCACCCATGAATTTTGAATTAGATATCTCGGAGTTCAAGTTCTAATAAGGTATGTAGCTACTATCGTAATCGAAAAAATTGTTTCATTTGTTTTAATATGAGTCTATACTTCTAATGGTATAAAAATGACTGACTCTAAATCAGGGACCTTCTAATCTAGACGGAATTAAGTTTTATATATCGAAAATGCGTGTTGATTTCCAGGAATATACAATATGCATAGTTTGATAAAGATTTGAAAGCATTGAGTGAATCATCTAGAGTACTCCCTCTTCTTGCCAAAGCTATCATCAACACAATAACTTTCAGACATTTCTATTTAGCATGTTTAAGAACGAACTGTATTTGTGCGGTAGTAATACTACTGGAGTTGTCATTTGGACACGGTACGCTATTGCGATATGCGACTAATATAAGTGAACCGGCTTATTAAGTCCGATCAAAGTGGTCCAAAAAAAAAATGTACCTAAAAAAGAAGAAGAAGAAGAAGAAGAAGAAGAAGAAGAAGAAGAAGAAGAAGAAATGATTAGGAGTTTAAGCACGAGAAAGATTCAAACTGACATGAAAAAAACTTATGAAAATAAAGGATGGTTAATTGAGAAATAGAGTTGTGAATGGGACAATGAGGGGCAGCTACTGCAAAAATGGTTTTTGCAATTCCATTAGAACTGGTTACACTTACACAACTATATATGGCTTCGAGTTCGTCGAGCTGAAACACAAATGTGTTAAGAAAGCAGCTATATAATTATCTGGAGCCAGTACAATTAATATATCCCTACTAATATTTCTTTTAAAAAATATAAAACATACTCACGTGACTAGTATAATTTATAAATTCACTAAATAATGAGGTAAAAAATTTAAACATAGTAGTTCCAAAAGTACAGTAGCAATGAACTAAAGTACTACAGTAAATTTGATTTAAATAAACATGGACGGTTTTAGGTTACTGTGCTTTCCTGCTGCCTGCATGGTGGCTTTACGAAGGAAAAAAAAAACCCCCTAAATTGGCGAAAATCTTCTTCTTTCTTCTTCCTTCTTCAGGGCCGGACTGTGGAATATTAGAATCAACCCTTATTCAAACTAGATGCTTAGCCCAGACGAATTTCCTGACATCCCCTTTTTTTTGTTATTAATTGGAATAAAAAAATGTATAATCTTAACAAAATACATTTATGCAAATACAATAGATACTTGGCCCGTGTGTCACTAAAAATTTGATACTAAAAAATAATACTACTCCATAACCAAAATAAGAACAAAAAGTGAAAAAACCACATACATTTTATCATGACTAAATAGTAATAATAAAAAATGATACAAATATTTATAGGTGCATTTAAAAAGTCATTACAACAAATGGGTTATTCAGTTGCACTCTAGAAAATATCAAAAGACCTCGTTGAGACTCTGAAAAACCTGTGATACATATTCACTTGGACATCGATATGGAAAATAAAATATCAGACCCGGCGATCTTTGAGTTTACCTTCGAAATGGAGGTATCAAAGTTCATAAATTTTTTTACAACGATGCTAAGTAATTAAGATGCAATCTGATTATCTCTCTTTAATTGATCGTAGACTCTCATTGCTTATCCATTGCCTCACTTATCAATCATAAATTAATTATTTGATAAATAGTCGTGTCTTGAAGTTTAATGGTCGCATGAAGTTTGGTTTTTTCTTCAAAAGTTGGAACTGTGGTATCACTGCCAAATATACAAACATAAAGTAAAATTACCCTCCTCTCAGGGAAAGTACAGTCCAATTTGTCAGGGCAAACATATTAGAAGAATAAGAATTTTTTTTTTTTAATTTCTTCAAAAAAGTCATGATAATAACTTACATGAGTATACGTCCAATAAGGAATGAATCATTTGTTTTATTCGGCGAAACCAACCCATACATCAATTACAATATAAGGATCCTAGTTTGAGATTCACGCACACTAAACAATGACAATTCTAATTATTTACGACTATGCCATCCGAGTGAGGAGCACGCTCCCATTAAAGCCCAATTTATGCGAGAATTTTTTATTTTTTCAAATCTTAATAACCGTCGTTTTCTCTTAATTTTTTTGCCACTATCTATATCCAACTTCAATATCCCATTTCAATCCAGAACGTCTCAAAACAAAAAAAAATCTGAAACGAGCAAAAATTCATTCCGCGGTGATACAGTAACAAAAGATCCAATCGGCGGTACTTTTGAAGTCGGAATCGGATTTCGTATCAAAACCCGTGTTTCTGGTTGCAAAATACTACACTAAAGATGAGGATTGAGGTAATTTATGGACAAATTCATCGGTTTTGTGTGTTTATTTCATGTATGTTTGATTGTTTTCAACTTAAATATTCATGTAGAAGCCTATGAGTGTGGATTCTGAAACGAGTAGAAGTAAATTTAAGGATGGAGAGGGAAAGAGGTAAAATTAATATACCTTCAACAATTGATTGGTTTTTTGGATATGGGTTATGTACATCTATGGTATGTTTGATTGATTAATGATGTTTCTTCATCGTACTTTAAGTTTTGTTCATCGATTATATATTGATTTGGTGTAAAATCGATGAAGATGCAAATTATTCATTAGTTCGATCGATGCGTTTTTTGGATGGATTTTATAGATCTAAAGTATATGCATTCAATTTTGTACATTGTTCATCAATTTTAAGATTTTTTTCAACATTCTTTTTTATTTGATTGTGAAAACATATGCAGAACTGAGCATCATTCATTAGTTGGTATTCAATATTCATCTTGAAATTCGTAGATCTAAGATTTTGCATACGTTTATAAATGGTTGTGCATCAATATGTTAGATTTGTTCATTACACATCATTTATGCAGTCATTATTCATCTATATTGAATGGATTATTCTCCATATTCATCATTGTAATGTGTTTTTTCATTGTTTAGCTATTGTTATTCATCAATACTGTAGCAGAGATGCATATATGATTGTTGAATATCAATATGTTTGTTCATCGTTATTGTTATTGATGTTCATCAAATGTTATTCATCAATTAAGGTTATTCATTAATTGAATGTAAGATATTCATTACATTCTAATGTAATAGGTTTGTTGCAATAGGTTTGGACACCTGCTGGATATTAAATGTAATAGGTTTGATGACGATGATCTGTGCTAAAATTTGGTCGAAAACTACGAGTAAGTACTATATTACTCACCAACATGCAGTGATTATTCATCTTCCCACGAAAATTATTCATCAGTTTGATTGATGCGTTTTCTAGATGGGTTTTATAGATCTAAAGTATATTCATTCAAATTTGGTTCATTGTTCATTAATTTTAAGCTTTTCTTTAGCATTTTTTTTTATTTGATTGTGAAAACATATGCAGAACTGAGCGTCATTCACTAGTTGGTATTCAATATTCATCTTGAAATTCGTAGATCTAAGGTTTTGGATACGTTTATAAATGGTTTTGTATCAATATGTTAGATTTTACACATCATTTATGCAGTCATTATTCATCTATATTGAATGAGTTATTCATCATATTTATCATTGTATTGTGCTTGTTCATTGTTTAGCTTTTGTTATTCATCAATACTGCATCAGTGTTGTATATATGATTACTGAATATCAATATGCTTGTTCATCGTTATTGTTATTAATGTTCATCAATTTCCATTGAAATGCATCACGAAATCTATTGTACTCATCATTACCTTTTTTCCTCCTATACATTCTAGAGAAATAGGTCACAAGAGTGCCGCTATCATCTAATGAATTCGCTGATCAACGTTGGAAGAATTAGAGATCTGAAATGGTGTGAATACATCATAACAGCAATACAGTACTCAAGATGAACTCGATCGGTCAGGAATCAAATATTTAGCAGAATTGCTGAAATCAAACAATCAACATAAACGTATCGAGTATCAACGAATCCTTCAATACCTTATATGTTAAAAACAATAACTAATTTTCTTTTCAATTTTATGTCTAGTATAGTGCATAATTAGTTTGTTAGTTTAGTTGCTGATATTAACTCATTGTAAAATATGCTCTTGTAAGTTTTTTTTAATCAAAGTACCCCTTGAAGTTTTTATCTATTGTTTGCTACATGCAAACTGTTTCTAATATATAACACCAGATTTGGACGTTCTCCTTGATTTAAACTTCTTTATTGAAAAATCGATGCGCTTTGCATAAGAATTGTAAGCATCAAATGGCTCTTCCTCTGAGTTGAAAAATCGTCCAATTAGAACATCATGTGTTGATCATGAAATACATTATTCATCAATAACAATATGTTACCCATTACTTAAAGTAGGTTGTTCTCATTAAATAGTAACAACTCAAGACATCATCTGTTGGACACAAAAAAAGTAACTTATTCATCTGTAACCATACGTCACTCATCAGATATGAACCATTATGCATTAAAAACTGATTCAACATTCATTCCGAGAACTATAACATCCGATCAATTTGATTATAATACCTTCTGTAGATTCAGGACTTTGATCATCAATTACAACCAACGATCTATCATCTCTAACAACAATCGATGAAGATTCAAGGGCTACATCACCAGTCTCTTCTAATCCATACGAATTCAACGGATCTTCCATGGCAACTCCTTCTTGTACGATATTCACATCTTCTTTGTCATCTAACCAACCATCATCACAGGAATCTGTTCTGTTGCATAAATCTTCACCTTCCATTGTAAATGATTTTTGTGTTTGAACACTTTTTTGATGATTTTTGCTAAAATTTCTCAGAATTGGTACAATTGTTGAATGACCTTGATGATAATGGGAAGATAAATTAATCGTTCAAATTTTAAAATTGTGCCGGGATCGCGTTTTTTGATCATGTAATTAAAACTGTGATTTGAGATTTTAAATGCACGAGTGGGGACATAAAATCTGGACCACTTTTTTTGTGAAGATTGAAATACACACTCTGACTAGGTATATGGTGCAAGGTATACCTAAGAGTTTGTTATTATTTGTCATCCACGCATTTCTTTATAATCTTCCTTTGTTTTCTCTAAAACAACAAAAAGAAAACCCGAAATAAACTACCACATCATGACCGCCCGGACATCATGCCCAAATTCTCGAAGTGATTTGAATGGATTTGTGTGGAATGCGTCGTCAGTGGCGGAAGAAAGGAACCGATCGAACCAATGCTATTGTGGAGGAGGAAGAGAAATTGGCGGTGGCAGCGACCAAGGTATTGATCGATGGGAGAAAGAGAGAAGAGAGAGAAATTTAGGAATTCTCACCAATTTAAGATCTAATTTTGAATGTAATAAGATAGGGATTGAGAAATTTTTATTCTTATCTTTTGGGTGAAGATTGCCTGCTTATTTAGAGTTAATTTTGGGTCGATGAATCTAGACAGATTTTTTATTTTGTTTATTTTAAGTAAAGGGATGATGAAAACGAGGTAGAATAATTTATACAATATGGTGAATTTGGAGCCAAAAGTTTTAATAAGAACTTGTCACATCAACATCCTATGTTCTGCTTTAATAGGATAAAGGAGATTTATTATTCCATTTACCTTAAAATGATTGTTTTATATAATCATTTCGGAAATGAGTATTATATAAGATTAATTTTTGTTATTATTATTTTTTCATTAATTAGGACAAGATACACTTGTTAATACATAAGAAAATGAACCAAAATAATTAAGAATCATTATATATCAAACAAACTGTGGAGTCTTGAAAGAAGGAGTACTAGACATTAGACAAGCAAGTGAAATATGGCTAATTAAGGAAAGAAGACTATCTTGCGATAAAATGGATCGATGAGAGGTATGAAGTATATACATAAAAAGGGAGGGGGAAAAAAAGAATTTTTTTGGTTTTGGAGCAATTAAGCACGATAATGATTCAAAATGACGAAATTTATTGCCCTTAAGCACGAGAAAGGATGTGAAAGCTAAATAACCAAAAATCTGGGCTTCCTTAAGGATTCAGCCCTCTTTCCACTTCCAATTTTATTGCCCTTTTATGTTTAAGGGGGAAAAAAAACTATATCACATTTGAGTGTGTTAAAAAAAGTGCATCAATTTTGAATATTTTATAATATTCTCTCTGTCCCAAAATTATTGTCCACTTTAAGATTTTACTTTTAGTACAATTTGAACTAAAAATAAAAACTCAAACTGGACAATAATTATGGGACAGAGAGATTGTGTCATCTGAATTTCAATCAAACGTTTACACAATAAATTCTTCCCCTCCTAACTTTACATCATTAATAGAGAAGATCAATCCATCTCAATGATAGTCATTGATCATGCACTAACTATCTATATTATCAAGTTTGGTTCATTTAGAAATTCGGTTTCATTTAATTTTGCCTTGAAGTGTCATGCTATGCTCGTGAGGAAGTTGACCTATATAGTCAAGTTGCATATTTATTTTCTATCATTTGTTTAGCATATTTTAAGATTTTGGATTTACCAATACCAAATCCTTTATTTTGATTGGAAGATTTTTCAATTATAAACTTTAAAATCTTCAAGATTCTAGCCCCAATTTTTTCTCTCTCCGAGATATGAAGATATGGCTAATTAAGGAAAAAGAAGACTTTCTTCTATGAAGATATGGCTAATTAAGAAGGCTAATAAAAACAAAAATACACAAAATACTCATAGATGATTTTCAAATGAAAGTCCAGGTGAAAACCATTACAACAGACCCTATTTGACTCAATACATGACAGACAATGGATATATGAATGCTCGATCCGATTACACAAAATCGTCTCAAACATCGATCCTTATTCCAGAAATCGAAAACCCAAAGGGTTACGACACCAACAACACCTGACTCAACTGAACTGACTCAACAACTGGCTCAAACAACAACAACAAAGAGCAAGACATAAATCATCAGAGATTAATGTCTTGAACAACACATCTTCTCTCTCCAGCAAGAGAGAGAGCGCTCAGTTCCTGCGTGCATGGATCTTAGAGCGGTTACGACGTAAGACGTCGTTCTCATGCATCAGCTCCGCCACGTCCTGCTTCAGCCTCACGTTCTCCTCCATCAGCATATTCTTGTTAGCAATCAGAACCTCCCTTGTCATCATGTCACAGTTCCTGCGTCCCAAAAAAAAAAAATCCAATTCATGACCCAATTTTTTTTTTTAATAAAAAAGATAAAAAATGAGGTCATGACGAAAGGGGAAAAAAAATGCATGCGTGTCTATTTCACACACACTGAAATGATCAAATCTCATCAGTGGCATACAGCTTTCGGTTTATACACGATGCCCCACTCAATAAATGAACGAATATATATATAACCTGCGGATTCTAAACCAAGCATGAATCTGAGCATCATCCACACCATTGAACAGCATGCCATTGCCCAGCTTGATCTGTTGCCTCTGAGAAGCAGAGGGGGATTGGCAGTGGGCATAAAATGCCTCCAGCACAGCAACTTGTTCATCAGAGAAATTCACTGAAGAAGAAGCCATTTTTTCCTTGCTGAGAAAAAAAAACAGAAGAGAAGAGAAACTCTTTGCTTATGATCAGAAAGAAGTAGCAAATGGTTTGGTGATGAAAATGGGAGCTTCAGGGGCAGAATTTAAAGGAGATTTTGGGTGTCTTTGTGATGTCCGTCAACCTGTAGATTAGCGATGAGTGTAATCTTACTTGGCTGAAATCTAAGCTAATAACATGCAGAACAATTTCGTTTTTCTTTGGCTTTACTCTTAACAACCTTTGACAAATGTTACTGTGTGGCATTGCTCCTTCAATGAGACCTCCACCCATTACTTTCTTATTTTTTACTCCTTTTTTTTTCCCCCTCTTTTTCTTTCTGTGGGCTTTCGTCATCCTTATCTAGTCATGAATGTAGCTTGATAATCTACATGAATTTCAAAATTGAGTAGTAAAGGCTTTAGTTGAAGAAGAACAATTGATTGTGGATGTGGTGGTATATATGTGTTGGTTGGGTTGAAAATAAAATTTGGCCCCATTTAATTATGGGTAGTTTTAGTCAATAGACAACCAAAAAAAGATGACTTGATATGGAAAAAACTGTTATCATCTTTGGAATTGAGATACAATGAAAAACTATATCCAAATCTAAGCCCAAATGCGTTGGGGATCCAGAAAAAAAAAAAGGAGAAAAGAAAGAAGGGACCAAAAATACATACCAACATTTTGTAGGGGCAATAATTAATAAAACTTGTATCAAAATAAAGTTAATAAAAGGGACGAACACACCTTCTGGTTACCTGCCTCTACCTTAAAATCAAATTGCTTTGTTATCTATAGTTGAAGTATGACTCATTGTAAACTTACATGTTACTTTCTTCAGGACTTTATCTGTGGATGGAATTGGTTTTGCAAGATCTTAGTACCAAACCTCTGTGCAAATGGAGATCGTATATAATAAATGTCGATCTAGAATGGCAATTAACAAGAACAAAATTTACGAGAACTATACATAGAGGGGGATGTTCATACATACATGGAAGCGAAGAAATTGATGGGCGAAGCTGACAAAAAAATCATCATGTAGATGATAAATGACCATCGTATGCAACCCATTATTATGGATGCTAGATTGATAGAAACAATAATGAAATACTCATAAGAGCATAACAGAAAGAACATAAGCGCATATATAAAGAGATGAACGCTTTGCATACTAAATTGATTGAGACAATAAGGAAATACTCGAACAAGTAAGAGAGAGAATCGAAATGCTTATATAAAGAAATGAACCGTGTTCCGGAAAATACGGCCTTGATGACATTTGCCGAGAACTGAGGCTGTTAATGTTTTCTCGAGGGGCTCCGCCTGAAATAAACCTTAGTTATATCAGGATTTAGTTGATGTAAGTTATTGAGCGAATTTAATAATATGATTTCTAGGATTTAGTCTCTTGATACCTAATTAGAAAAACTGTTACGTAGTAATGAAAAAAGTACTTTTTGAAAATAATAAAGAAATACTCGATTGAGTAAGAAATAGGATCGAAACGCTTACATAAAGAAATGAGTCTTGTTCCGGAAAATACGGCTTCGGTGACATCTGCAGAGGACTGGGATCGGTCTTTAGCGCTTTCTCGAGCGCTCCGCCTGAAATAAATCTTAGTTATACAAAAAGTTAGTCGGTGTAGGTTATTTTGCAAATATAATAATATAAAAGTTTCAGGATTTAGTCTCTTCATAGCTAATTTCATAAATTGTCACATGCTAAAAGAAAAGAGTATAAGAAAATTTTTCCATCCTAGAAGGAAAAAAAGAGAATGATATATCTATACATTCTCAGCAGAAAATGAAATTCATGCGTCAATCCTTGATATTTCTCTAAGAGTACTACTAGTGGTCGATCTAAACTATTAACTAGCCAAGTTATGGCTTGTTTACTAACACCTCTTAATATATATTTAAAATTATTTGACGAAGAGCTTTTTTTTTCTTTAAAAAAAAAACAAATGTCATCATAAATTAAATGTTTTACGAGATAAGTTCGTACTCTAATTAAAGAATCCAACGTATTAATGTTTTAACTATATGCGGAGGTGAGTAAGTATTCCATGTTGTAATTTGTTAGCTTTCTCAAGCTAAAATAACTTATTAACTTTATGAAAATATTTATGATGTTCTCGTATAAATTCATGGAGCTCTATCTCTTTATGCCAATAATCCCCCTTAAGTTCACTAAGGGGGCGTTTGCGTTTGGTTTCCAAAATATGGCCTATCAAGAAAAAACATTTTATTTAATTTAGAGTTCGTCGGATATGTCGAAGTAGTTGTAGTACTATAATCATTTTATTTTTTTTCCCCGAAATAAGTGTCTGAATTGCCAAACTTTTCTGTTCCCTGTAATTTGTTGGTGGTCATCCGGTTGCTGGCCTTTTAAAAGAAGTGTTCTTGTCGCAGTGTTTAGAAATTAACGTAAAAATGCGATTGTTGCTTGCTTGTCATCACATTTTGGTGGTCCTAGCAATTCTTCAGTAACTTGTTTGATTTTAACTTTCACATTTTCTGTTTCATTCTGTTTTTCATAGAAAACCAATATCTCCATTACTCTTCTGTTCAGAACCTCTGCTAGCATTCCAAACTTATATTGTGTGGCCAATCTTTGGTCTTTCAAATCTACATTGTCATATCTCCTTTTTGAGATTTGATTTTCTGGATTCCGAGACTTGAGTGCTAAATTTCCAATTTGTTAACTTTCAGTTTCTCACACTGAATACTAAGGATCCTGCACTTGCATCTTCGGAAGTTGAAGAACCAGACCCACAAGTTGATTTGAAACTAGATTCTTCTGGTCCTGCATTAGTTGGGGAAAACGTTGTTGTACCTGTTACTATTATTTCCAAGGGCCATCCTGTCCATTCTGGTGAGCTGAAGATGTGGAACCATTTTCAACAGATAATCTTCATGTGGAATTTGTTGGAGTATCAGGCCGAGAAAGTGCAGATCAGTCTGACATTGGTTTCTGAAAATACAACTCCGCAAAATTCAGCCTTCTTTTGGATTAGTATCTGTGCAAATTATATAGAAGAAAGAAGGAAAGACATGGAGCTGTCATGCTTTTTGTGTCCCTTAGTAAGGTGATAAAGATGAGGCCATAGCCCAAAATTCATCATAAATCAGCAAAGAAGTTGTTTGCGCCGCTAACACTCACGTTTTTCCTCTTGGTGCCTGCAAGAACATATGACCCGAAAATCCATTAGCAAAAGAACCCTTTGGGTTATAAGGAAGAGATCTTTTAAGTGATAGGTTTAGGAAGTGAAAATGGAAGAGAAGGAAATTTTAGGAGAAAGGGAGCTTTACTACTTTGTAGTAAAAGGAAACAAGGTGGAGTGTGTTAAGCTTTTAGTTTAAGGTTTCTCACAACTCTCTACACATACTTACATTAGGGGGTTAACTCCTATTTATAGGAGTGCATGGAAGGTTCTACACTCTTTCAAGATGTTTCTACTCCTTCTAAATATCTACATATTTTATTCTAATATCTAGACTTTTCCTTACTAATATCTAGATATTTCTTCTAGATATTTTCCATGAATTTTTCTACATACTCTTGATATTTATGTAGAACATTTCTAGAACTTTCTACTTCTAGATATCTTCTTATCTAGACAATTCTTTATTGGACTTGGGCTTAGGATTAAACATAAAGATTCATGGTCCAAGTTAATAATTTTGGATAACCCAATATTAATTGGACCAAATTAAGTTTACTTACTAACATCCCACATTCAGATTGTAAGCATTACAACAACAATGATCATCACAACAGGAAGGAGACAAGTAAATCAGGAAAACTAAATGCTTGTAAGAGGCTCAATTAAGCTGCATCTAGGTGAAGTGCTTCAAGAAAATCTTTACAAAATTGACACCAAGATGTACAGGCATCTATGTAAATGACAACAAAAACGATAGCCAAACATCATGGCAGCAACACCACTATTTACACTATGGGATACGTCTAAGACAATACCTTTACAAGATTTTGGCAATGCCATCGTCGACGTCCATTCCATCACTATCACTATCTGCAACATCTGAAGGATTATTGACATTTACAGAGTATTGCAGTAAATTATCCAAATCCCACAGCTGCAAGTACACAAAAATGATCATCAAGAAGAGCATTTTTTCTGAAGCGGCTTATTTTTACCGGAGGGAAAAAGATGGAAGCAGGGAAAGGGACAGAGGGAGCACCTTCAATGAGTGATCATGTGATATACTACCAAGGAACTTTCTATTATCATAAGAAAAAGCTGCAGCATAACAGAAAAACCACAATAAGACTTCTGTTAAAAATAGTTAAGGTCATGAGCAATTTAACAAGAGCCAAATCGTCTAAAAGCTTGCAGCTACATTAAAATTGCTTTCAGCGAGAAAGAAAGGGAAAATCATGCATCTCGGAGAATCACAGACATAGTTAGGCCAGAAAAGATTGATATTCCTCCTGGATTACCCTGCTGCACTCTGTATTGCGCATCAGAAAATGGTCAACAAGAAAAGGAGTGGGTTAGGTTCTTAGATTTCCTTCAGACACATAAGAAGGTAATTTTACTTACATTGCTGATGTCTAAGTTTTACATATGGCGATATATGATCCATAAAGCTACCCTAGACAGTGGTATTGGGAGATTTGGGATTGGATTCATGGTAATAGTTAAGCCCGTTTTAAGTGATGACATTTCTCTGGGGACAAATAACACCATCTAGATACGTGAAAGGCATAGCTTGTGATAGGTATTTAACCTACACCGACTAACTTTTTGTATAACTAAGATTTATTTCAGGCGGAGCGCTCGAGAAAGCGCTAAAGACCGATCCCAGTCCTCTGCAGATGTCACCGAAGCCGTATTTTCCGGAACAAGACTCATTTCTTTATGTAAGCGTTTCGATCCTATTTCTTACTCAATCGAGTATTTCTTTATTATTTTCAAAAAATACTTTTTTCATTACTACGTAACAGTTTTTCTAATTAGGTATCAAGAGA